AGGAAGGTTTTCAGGTGTCACATCAGTCACAGGTTCTCCAAAGCAAGCCAAGGCCATCCCCACCACAGTGAATGAGGGTCCGGGCCGCTGTTTGTATATAGCACATACTTACCAATGACCTACAGCCTGCCAGGCAAAGAAGATGGGAAATTAATGCCACACTGAGTGGTCTCTCACACCTACCTAGTCCAGTTGTCCTGGTGACCCTAGGAGGTAGGCATCACCATGACCATTTTAGAGATGGTAAAATGGAGACCTCAGAAGGTGAAAGAGCTTGTCCAAGCCCTACAGATGGGAAGGAACAGCCAGATCTGACTCCACACATGAGAATGTGTATGCTAGCCCGAGAGCTATGAGATCAAGTACGGAGCGAAACTGGCTTCTGGATAGCAGGCAAGTCCCTGGGCATTCAAGGCAGGGGGAGGATCCAGAGGATGAAAAAGCAGGAATGGAAGGGAGCAGCAGGCAGGCACAGGCAGAGATCCCTGGAGTGCAGGCACACCTCAGGTCATAGCCAATACCATAGGAGTGGCTGGCCACATGGCTCGTAGAAGGGGGCCATGCTCACCGAGGTGCTCATTGTTCTTGGGCCTCTCACTGTGAGCACAGGGCAGTCACAGTCGTTAAGAGCCAAGCTCAGGAGGTGGCTGGTCCAAGATGGCTTCAAAGGGTTTATAGAGGGAAAGATCTGAGGCCACCAAGCACACCAGAGACCAGGACTAGGCAGAGAGGTGAAAAGACAGAAGTATGAACATCAGAGGCTTTGCTCCCCCAGGGAATAATGAGAACGGTTTCCACTCAGGTGTCTTAGCGCCTTTTCCTTGGAGCACTCAGGTGTGTTCCTCTCCGAAGTCCCACAAGAAACCTTATTTTCCCCTTCCCACCTCTGCACATTGCTGCGCATTCAATCCCTTGCCATAAAGATAGGCATTTATGTTAACCCTTTGTATAAATCCACTTAATGGAGCCAGGAGGTTGCCCAGCTAGTGGGTGAACTTGGGGTGAGTCATTCTTGGAAAGGAGCAGCCATGGTCTTGGGACTCAATGGGGTTTGGCTGGAAATCACGTACCACTATCTGAGCATCCTGCCCGTGCCCACTCTGGGTTGTTGAGGACATATCTCACACTGGCATTACTCTTTCCAGCAATGAAGTGAGTGGTTCTCCTTTCTCCCTTTGCAAAGAGGCCTTCTGAGTTCTCAGTAGTGGTTTTCTGGGGTTTGGGCAGGAGCAGGGCGGTTGCGTAAAGAGCTGCAGCTGAGTGGGGCAGGCAGGCAGAACTAACAATGTGAACCACTGGCCTTAAGGGACAGGAAAATCAACTCAAACCCTGGGTGCTGGGTCCTGGCTCCTTGGGTTTGAATCCTGCCTCGGGTATGAATCTGGACAAAGTACTGAGCATCTCATGAAAGGATTTCTGCTCACTGTGTAAGTACAGGTACCTGCATCCAGTGAGGAATACATGACTGGATTCACACAGCCTGCTCGAGAGCCCGGCGCATCCTCAAAGCTAAATACCAGCTGGATGGGATAGGCATAGCAATGCTGCCTGGACCACGCTCTCAGCTGACTGGGCTGTGACCAGCTTTGTTGCTTAGCTGCTGTTGTCTACTGGGCAAGTGGCCAGCACCTTGCAGAACGACACCATGCACAGAAAACAGCTCTTTTACCCCACCACGGGGATGACTCCCCAAGTACTTGGCTTGTGAGCCCCAGAAACACTGGCCACAAGATGCCACCTGCTATGGGAAGAAGGCTGCTAGCTGAAGGCAGCAGAGACCAAGAGAAGGGCTTCCGAGAAACAGCCCTTCTTGCCCACACAGGCACAGGACAGCTAGCTCTTCTTGGTGAATCACTAAGACTTAGGGGGAGAAGGGTGGGGCTGGGGAGGTTGAAAAGAGAAATGGCTGCCAGGTAGAGGGTTGGTACTGTGGCCCCGTTGTGTAAGGGCAGGGCCTAACGCCTTTGGGGACATGACTGAGAGATGGCCACAGAAAGGACACAGATCATGACTGGGGCACCCATCTTAAAACCTCACCCTTGAGGTGAAGGGGGAGGGAGGGAGAGGGGGGCAGGTTCAGCCCAGGAGACCCCACTCCTGTCAGAGTAGGGCCCTGAACACACGGGTTGGGGTCTGCAGAAACCCCTAAGAGTGTTTTAACAATATGACAGAGGAGGAAGGTAGCAAAGTGCTTGGTTCAGGGTTTCCTGCTCTATAATGGGAGTCCTTTAACAAGCTGAGATTAAATATGAAAAATAAAAAAGGATATTTAATCTCAGCTTGTTAAGGGACTCCCATCATGATGCTGGGAGTTCTGGGGCAGGGGGACTCTTGCTTGCAACCTGGCTAGGGAATCCAAGGAAAACAGGGGCCTTGTAGACAAGGGGGAGGCAGGCTGCAACTCTCCAGGGAACAAGGCCTTGGTCTAGGGCCCTCAAGCATGCCAGATTATCATAGTTCCTGCCCAGTCGGGGTAGGAAGCAACTGGGAGGACTTCAGGCTGGCTGAACTCCATGTAGAGCTGAGCGAGGACACAGGCCCCACCTTCTAGACAGCTGATGGGCAGGGGTGAGGCTCCACACTGTGCTCGCAAGGGCACTTGAGCAAAAACTTCCCTGTGACCAGCTAGAGATGCAAAGTGAAGAGGAGTTGGTAGGACATGGGTCTTACAGCCTTAGGGACACCCTCCATTTTAAAGCCAGAGACCCTCAGTTTTCAGCTCAGCTCGCCACCTGGCCCCAGCCCAGGCCACTCTGTTTAGCCCCCACAGGCTGCAAGAGTGGCAGACTAGCCCTGACTCCCTGGCTTCTCTGTGACACTAAAAATTGCATGCCACTGGCTTAGAAGGCCAGGGTACTGAAGAAGAACCTTGTATTTTGAAGACTTCACAGGAAGGGCTATGGCCTCATCCTCCTAGTGGGTCTGGGAGGAGGGCCATGGAAAGATTCCACCTGCCTTCCTGTCTAAAAAAAAAAAAAAAAAAATGTGGCCTTGACCTTGGAGACTGACTCTGTAGCTCTGTTCCCCTGGAAACTGTACACAAGTGTTAATGGGTGGCGAGAGCTCTGAGACTGTGTCTCACCGGACCCAGGGCTGGAAAGAGGAGAGGAGCATCTCTGCCACCAGGCAGCTCTTTGGTTCCCTGAGCACCATGGCTCCTAGCCAGGCTTGTTCCTAATGGGGCCTTCGATAGCAATACCTAAGATAGTGACAGAGAATTCTGGGTCCTGGCGGAGAGTGGGACAGTTTGCACACCTGCCTGTGTGAGCTGCATTCTCTTGGGCATGAGTGGCCTCCTGGAGGTTGAAGGGGGTGGACCCTGGCCCCGTCTGGGAGGACCACCCCATGAGGGACTCAGATGCCTGCTTCTGCCAGCCACTGTTGGGATGTCAGAGGTCCTGTGGAATGATGCAGGTTCACCTGTCCATTTGTGGTCACAGAAGCTCTTCCATGAGTCACGGCCTGGGATCTGGAAGGTGTGTCCCTCAGAGTCACAAGAACGCGATTTGTCTGCAGCAGGGACATGGCTGAGCTGGGGGTGCCCAGATGGGTCTGACTGCAGAGTTAAGGCCACTGTCACATAAGGTGCTGAGTGAAAAAGCCAAGCAGACAAGAAGGCTGCCCTCTCCCTCACAGTAAGAATGGACAGGAGGTATAAGGACCACACTCCAACACAGCCAGTGGGGATGCTAGACAGATATCCGCAGGGACACAGAGGCCAACTTCTCCATGACTCTCGGGGATGCCCCAGAAGGCCTGACTACACAAGTCAGGTGAGTAGTGCACCCCACATCTCTACCAGGGAAAGCAGGAATGCTCTCCATTTTCCTGACTGGTACCCACGTTCCTGCCACTCAATGACTCGGATAGCTCTCTTGTCAGAGAGGGGTCCCTGGAGTTTAATTAAGCCACTGAGTAGGTCCCAGAGGTGGGGCTTGTGGGTCGTAGGTGTTTGGGGATTCGGATTTCAGCAAAGAATCAACACTTCTGAGCCGTCCTGGTTCCAGCTTCCAGCTTCAGACTTCACGTCTGCTGGAACAACCTTCTGTCTGGACAGCCCCCTTCTACACAGAGCACGGTCCTTGCTTCTCTGTCTTTGGATATGGCTTCCCTACAAAGTCAGGCCCCTGCTCCATAGTCCCCTCGATGGGCCTGATCTGAACTCCAGTCATTTCTGTTAGCTTCCAGGAAATCAGGGTGCCACCTACTTGGTCCAACACAGCCCGCTGCCACCATGCCACGTCTAAACTCATGGCAGGCTCCCCACACAGACTCACCACTGTGCATGTCTTCCACTCTGCCAGTCTGATGGCTAACATTCTCCGTGCCCCAAATTTGGGAGAGTATAGCCATGGGCAGATACCTTTTGGAGGTGACCCAACCCACCTGCCCTAGATTGACAGGAGCATCTTAAAGTTACTTCTCAGGTAATTTCCTCTAGAAGTCGACTTCCAGCATCTAGTTTCCAGTGAACCCAGGGTGTGCCACCCCCACCTTACCCACTGTGCTCTGGGGAGGCTCCAACACTTGAGGAGATGACTACTCTCTACTGAGGATCCTGGGCAGTGAAGGCTCATGGTAGAAGGGTACCTCTGGCCTCAGCTCTATGGTATTTTCTCTATGGTAGAAGGGTACCCCTGGCCTCAGACCTCCGAGCTCAGAGGCTCTGGGCTCTACCCTAACAGCCTGAACTCCTTTTTAGGATACCCCTACAAACTATAACAGGCAGCTTGGGCCTGCTCTCTCAATCCTCACTCCCCCCTGTTCTGAGGCAGGGCCACACTCTGGGACTTCTGCGGTATCACACCTAAAAGAGTGTTGGAGCCTTCAGTTTTCCTCAGAAATCTACAATCCACAGGGCTCCCACATTGGCAGCTCCAACTCTCTCTTGCTGGCCTCCAGCTACAAGTTCAGCTGTGCACAGAGCCAGAGGTTTGGTTGGTTGCGCTGGCAGACAGACTCCAGAAGAGCACACTCAGTCCATGGAGGTTTATGTACATAGGGCAGAGGGGGTGTCTGTATCCATCTAGGCACATATAGCGCCTTCAGGGAGGCACACAGCACGAGGACAGGCCTGCACCTATCCCCTGAGGCAGCAGCTCTCATGCCCTGGGTTTCCGCTAATTGCACTTAGATTCTTGCCATCCAGATCCTTTGTCCTTGGCTCCCGAAGATGCCACAGTGGAGACACTGGGGAGGCTTCCCCATTGTCCCACAGAGTTCCAGCAGAGGTTGGCCAGGTCCCCCGGCCTCCCCTTTAAGTGACTGTCAAATGTGCTTAAGTTCTGGGTTCAGGCTCCTGACTTCGAATAACTTGTTGCACTGTTGGATTTTGGTCTGAGTGAGGATGGGGCACCACGGGGACTCAGGTGATTCCGAAAGCTCTTTGTCTAGCCTGTAAAAGTAAGAAATAATTTGAAGTGAAACAAAAGTCAAGTGTTAAGAAGAGGGGAGGGGGCCCTAGATAATCTTCAAGCCCCAGCCATCCTGACCTCTCTTGACAGTGGCCCAGAGCAGGGTTTGGATAGCCCCAGCCCCAGGGCTCCATCACTGGGGCATCGTGTGAGCTGTCTCCCACACCTCAGGCCACCCCTTCATTCTTTCTACATACAATGACCAGTCACTATGTGTCTGGCCATATCCCAGGCACTGGGACATAGAAGATACCCAACCTAAGTCCTTGTGGGTTAGTGTTGGAGTCAAAGACATCCCTAAGGACATTTGGTGGACCATCTAGGGATCTAGTGGGCTTCAAGAGCACCCTGGAGTTTAAGAACCCTCAGCTTAGGTTGGTTTCAAGGTCAAGACTCCAAAATTTACCAGCCCAAGGATGAACACTCAGCACCTAGAGAATGTGGAACGGCTGAGGTCCCAAAGCAGGAACTCCGGTTAAGAGCTAGGTGCTTGGGTACAAGGGGACAACAGCTAGGGCGATACCAATGCCTTCATTCTTGGGGTCTCTGAATATAACTGGCCAACATATCTGGCCATGCAGGTTGAGGTACAGAGGTGAGGAGCAGGGCACTCCTGGCTCCTGGACACTGTGCAGTCCTATCAGGATCTAGCCTCATGAGCCACTGGCCCGTCAACCTGCTGCTCTTTGGCCCTAGAAGGCCACTTGCTTTGGACAAGACAGGAGACGTGCACACGGCAACAGAGCAGGAACTAGGCCAGGCTGGAGGGAGCTTTGGGAATGGGACATAAACATCTCTGTGGATGAAATGCCCCGGGGCCTGTCTGTCTCAGTGAGCCCTGTCACGTGTCTCTACAGCAAGACCCCAGGGACCCAGGACCACACAGACCCCAAAGGGGCTGAAGTGGGAGACCTCAGAACAAGGTTGCCTTCCAGGCACCTCGTCTCCCAGGGGAGCCAACCTCCCCTCTCCATCAGCTTTGCATCAGTCAATGAAAAGTAAAGGATACACACCCGAGTTCTCGGCGCATGGGAGTCATCAAGGCCACAGAATGAATGCTAGTGAGAAAAACAAAAAAAGGAACAAAAACTATAACATAAGACCAAAAGAAAACGAGGAAAAGAAAAGAAAAGAAAAAAAGATGTGAGAGATGTGGTATGGAATTCAGTGACAGTATCTTACAAGAACACTAGGGGGCAGCAGAGAGATGGACAGAGGGAAGCGGAAAGCAGGAGCCGACCGCTCCCTCTAGCCTTATGGGCTGGGCAGGTTATCCCTACACATTTATCAGGTGTCCCACATCTATGCCATGCACAGACACTTTGAGGGATAAAGGCAAGGCTACACGGGGCAACGCAAGGGAAGGGCCCACCCAAAGTCATGGCTGTGCTTCACCGGTATATGCTATGGTGGGCAGCAACAAGAGAGGTATGCAGGCTGACCTGCGGTCAAGTGACCCTTCCCTACACTGTCCATTCCAAGTGATTTGTTTATATTTGAAACATTGTGTGCCTTTTTACCAGTCAACTTAAGAAAAACACTGCTGGGAGAATAACCTTACAAAAAATAGAAAAGTCTTATTGGTTAGTTCAAAAGAATATATATTATTTTCTTAATCTACTCGGGCACTTGCCCTGTTCAAACAGAATCACCAATCTTCAGAGGAAACATATCTGTCTGTCTTCTGGGGACATTAAAAAGTAACCCCACCAAACAAGGTCATAGAACAAGATCATAGTTTCCTAAGTTGATTGTAGAGAAAAGTGAAAATCCAACTAATGGCCACCGCTTTCTTCTGTTGAATCTCTAGGATCAAGAACTAAAAGGGGCCACTGTAATCCTGGAGCCCTTCATGTTCTGAACATGGAGAAACTGAGGCTCAGGAGGAGGGGGGCTTGGTGAGAACACCCAGTGGACTGTGAGTAAGAGTCTGGTCATGCAAGGAGGGACCATCAGTAAGCCACAGTCGATGGAATCAGCTTCCCATGATCACTGGCAGGGAGAGACTGGGAGGACCTACAGGTGAGTTAGGCCTGGCAGGCACCCCTAGTCACATGGCTAGCCAGTAATCCAGCAGTCAGGTCAATCTCTTCTGCATATTTGACTTGTGTTATACCCTCCTGGGAAGATGGGGGTAGAACATACACAAATCAGCTCTGAGAAAATCTGAGAGACCAGAAAAACAATATAAGCAACGACCCAGTGCTTCCCCATGGAGGCATAGCCAATGCACCTGACCAGCCTGAGTTTTGACAACATTATACATGTATGTTTATGTATGTTGGTGTGCATGTGGGCCCATGTGTGTGCAGGTGTGCATGACGTTATGTAAGGCAGAGGACAACCTCAAGTTTCATTCCTTGGGCACTGTCCTCTCTGGCCTTTTGAGCCAGGATATCTCACTGGCCTCAAACTCATCAGCGAGGCTGAACTATCTGACAGTGAGCCCCAGGACAGCCTGCCTGTCTCCACCTCCACGGCACTGGGTTTATACTGTACCGCCACACCTTGCTGGCTTTTGATGTGAGTTGTTATGGGGACCAAACACCGGTCCTCACATTTGCAAAGCAAGCATTTTGCTGTCTGAGCCATCTCCCAAGCCCTCACTTTTAACATTTAAATTGGCAACAGCCCCTGTGGCCATGTTTGGGACCCTCAAGGTGTCTGTGGATGGAAAGGCAGGCAGAGTTCACCACTCACACCCCGTGCCCTCTAATGGATTCCTTGCTATTGCCCAGGGAGAAAAGGAGCCTTAGTCTCAGAGCAGTAAGAAGACTCCCATATAAGGTGCCAGAATCTCAGGTTGTCCTGAGCCCAGTCATGGAGACAAAGTGTTCTCAGTTGATTCAACTTGGCATTCCCCTTGGGATTTCCCAACAGTCCTAGAGGGTTGAGGAGGGCCGGGCACCTGTCCGATGGGGACTCTAGGATCTAGGACAGCCACATAAAGGGTTCCCCAGTCAGGGAAGTGGAGGAAGAACCCAGCCACTGCCTAGACACAGACTTTTGATGCCCCATGCAGACCCAGCCAGCTATGCACCCAGGAACTCATACAGGGTGAGACTGGTGATTGCCCTGTTTGAATTTCCCTTCCCAGGGAGATAGGAGAGAATACACCTGTCCCATACGAAGTCTCAAGAGTGTTCTTTCTCCCCCTCTCTCTCCCATATGTGCTATCTGATAGCCACCAGGAAGGCTGCCCCACTTATAAAGAGCCCCAGACTCTGCTGTAGTCTTGAGGTCTGCCCAAAGCAGCAGCAGCACTGGGTGACGCTGGCTGTCTCTGTGATGGTTAACACTGATTACCAACTTGATAGACTCCAGAATCACCTGGGAACCACACACCTCTAAGCACATATACAGGATTTTCTCTTTCTTTCTCTCTCTCTCTCTCTCTCTTTTCCTTTTTCTTTTTCTTTTTGATTTTTTGAGATAGGGTTTCTCTGTTTAGCTTTGGAGCCTGTCCTGGAACTCACTCTGTAGACCAGACTAGCCTTGAACTCATAGAGCTCCTCCTGCCTCTGACTCCCAAGTGCTGGAATTAAAGGCATGCACCACCATGCTTAGCAAGAAAATTTCTAGAGTGGGTTAACTAAAGTCGACAGACCTAATCTATACATAGGGGATACCATTCCATGGACTGAGGTTTCAGATTGAATAAAAAAGGGGAAGGTAATGGCTGGAGATGTGGGTAAAAAGCTTGCCAAAGCATGAGGGTTGGAGTTCAGATCCCCAACACCTACACAGAAATCAGACTGATATGGCAGTCAGCCTGGAATCCTAGTGCGAGGGAGGAAGGGTCAGAGTATCCCCAGTGCAAGCTGGCTAGCTAGACTAGCCGGAATTGGTGAGCCCCACATCAAACAAGAGACTGTGCCTCAGTACCTAAGGTTGACTGTCACAGACAGACGAAGACACCTGACATCAACTCTGGCCTCCATGGTTATGTAAACAAACATGCACCTGCACCTGCCCAGCACCTACACATGTGAGCATGCACACACCCACACATGTCAGTACATGTACACACATGTTAGCATGCACACACATGAGTATGCACACACAAGCATGCACACACATGTGATCATGCACACACGCACATACATGTGAGCATGCACACACATACACACACACACACATACAAGAGGAGATAACTTGAGCATCAGCTTTTATTTCTCTTCGCTTCCTCATGGCAGGCAGCTGCCTCACCTTCCCAGCCATGATGAGCTGTATCCCCTTGACCTGTGAGCACGGATAAGCCCCTGCCCCTTGAAGCTGCTTTCATTGTGTATTTGATGAGTGCAATGAGAGAAAATAACCAATATGCCTTCTTTCCTGGGACCGAGGGTCATTGTCCTTGTCCTCCTTGGTCTTGATCACATCACCCCAAACTAGTCCTAGGCCCACAGGGACCCACGGGCTGAGCCAGCCTTGCTGGCTTCCTGCATAGGAGCATCACGGAGAGTGAGCGAATCCATGGAGATGGGTGACAGCTGTTTCTGAGGTATGAGAGCTTCATCACAGTTTAGCCTGATCCTTTCTCTCTAAGATCACCTGCAGCAGAGGGTTTGGGATGGGTTGTGGAACACAAACATGCACACAAATATGAACTCACATGCACACACACACACAAAGCTGGGGGGGGACCCAGATCCAGTTGTTACAGTCACTGAGGAGGCAGCATCTTTGCCTGAGAGCCTGTGGGGGCCCTGGCTTTCTTGGAGAGATTTGGGGGGACAGGAAGCCTAAGATTTAAACCCAGAACTGGCAGACAGACACCAGCCTGTATCTCAGGCCTGAAATCTTGGCACTCCTAGCCACCTACCTTTTCCTCCAGCTCTTTCAGCTGGCGCCTCTGCAGTTCCAACTTGCCCTCCATCTCCCGGATTTTCTGAAACACATCAAGCCATGCGTCAGAAAGACTTCCAAGTCCCAAACCTAACTTTTATCTTTTATGGTGGTCCAGCATAGAAGCTGTGAAGGAGGGATACACAGACAGCCCCCAGAGGAACACTCTCTTTTGACTTATTACAGAGGAATAGGTTTCACCTGCTTGTGAAGCCCAAGGCTCGTGTCTAGTGTAGAAAGTATACACTTATATGATGAAAGCTGGCCATGGTACCTAAGCTCCCAGCAGGACAACAAATACCATGGATTACAGTGGCCTTAGTCACTCATGTGTCCAACATACAGGAAACTAGACCTGGGGAGTGCAGGAAAGGAGAAGGGCAGAGAGGTAGGGCTGGTGCCGCCATGTTGTGTGGTGATGCCATGAGGTGGGCATAGACTTGCACCATAGACAGCATGCTTCCCAACAAAACCCTGTGTAACTCATCTCTACTTCTTCCCCTTCCTCAGCTATTATCAGGGTTCTGGAACCTTCTTTCCCCTGCTTTGCATCATGCAACCCTCACAAATGCTGAGGTCCTCCAAGAAGTAACCACTCAGGTTCCTAGGCTGATTCTCAAGCTCTTGGCCATCCCAAACCCAGCAGCACAGAGATATTGAGTCAGTGTGGTCCCTGGGCATCAGGATGCAGTATAGGGAATGTTGGAGAAAGGTGAGAGAAATGCCTTTGTTTCGTGTGCACATTTCAGCCAAGGGAAAGAACAAGTTTGCCATCTATACAACATCCAAGTGCCTCATGCTTCCCCAGACACCAAGGCGGAAGTGCCTTCCACCCTGGGACAGGCATCCATGAGAAAATATGCTATGCCTACAGAACTTCACCTGCCAGTAGCTCTCCGCCCAGCATCCAGGGTACCTGCTGCCCATCAAGTACCAGTGGGCGGGTCATCAGTGGCCCAGCATATACTGGAGGCATGGATGAGGAAATGACACTGTGGGGGCCACCGCCAGTACCTGCTGGGCCTGCTGGAGCAGCTCCATTCGCTCCCGCAGGATCTGGCTGTCGAACTCCCGGCTCTGACGCAGGAGCTGTCTGCGCACCTTCTCTACAGCTGCCTGCAGGTCCTCGCGCTGGCTGGCACTCAGTGCCTCGCTGGCTCTTCTCCCGGGCTCCTGCTGCAGCGCATTGTACAAGGTGGCCTCCAGGTCCTGGATTTTCTGCAGGGTCCAAACCACAGACGGTCGAGGTTACGAAAAGGTAGACAATCATCACGCTATCAGGAGAGCAGTGCTTCTCGAGTCCACGCTAGGAAGGATCCAGGGAAGCAGCAAGTGTGTGCCTTGGCCAGAGGGACCTTCCCATGCTGTCCCTTATGATGTTTACTGCTCAGTGGCTCTCAAACTTTTCTAATGCTGCAACCCTTTAATACAGTTCTTCGTGCTGTGGTGACCCCCAGCCATAAAATTATTTTCACTGCTACTTCATAACTAATTTTGCTTCTGTTGTGAATCATGCTATAAATTGTTTTGGAGTTAGAGGTTTGTCAAAGGGATCATGACCCACAGGCTGAGTTCAGGGTTTGAATTCTTTGGGAGTAACATCAGATCCCCTGCTGAAAACTCAACAGTGGCCTTACCATAGTGCCTAGGGGTGAAGGAAAAAACTATCTTTCTCCTGCTTCCACAAAGCCCCTCACCCCTTGGTAAGAAACACCATAACCATGTAAAGGAACCCATCCTGCTATGCGGCAGAGCAGCACGGAAGGCTCTACCAGCCCCACCCCCTGCAGCATTGTTTTGACTTCCTAGACAGATCCTAGCCCTGCTGGGCCCTGATGATTTAGCCACAGACATTATCACCTTCTCTCCAGGTCTTGGCCCTGTGAAAGTGGAAGGCAGAGCCGTGGGATTCCATATGGCCTTTGTCTGGGCTCCACATGGAACAGGAACTCATCTGACTTCTGGTTCACACCTCTCCATTCAGCAATCCTCTGGTTGCCAGCTTCCAGACTGGCCCCTACCTCCACACCTGGATGCCACTGTGGGCCTATCTCACCTACTTCTCATTCCACACCACGACAAAGGGAGACAGGCATGCACTGAGCACCTTCCCTTCCCCAGCCTGGATGCAGGAGGTAAGCGGTTCACTGGCCAGGCTCAAAGTGAACCTGGTGCCTTGTGAGAATTGTCTCGAATCTCCCAAGACTGAAATCCCTCTGGGTGCATGCTACCCACTTGCAGCTTATGGCACTTTTCAGGGATGGATGTGTCTTTTACAGGGACCAGGATCATAAGGTAGGAATACCTTCCAAGAGCCAGCATGCCCGAGGTCCTGAGCCTGCCTGCACACGGTCATCAAAAGATGACTGGGCACCAGCTGTTCTGCGAGAGGCCCCAGTGAGCCGCAGCACTTGGAAAGGGCTGGCCTCCTCCCCTCTCAGCACCACAGCTGCCCTTTGGCACAGTGTGAGTTCTTTAGGATCAGGACCCTCAGCTTTCCACCTAATGTACCTCCCCTTGCAGATCTCTGAGGAGTGTCCTTTAGAGCTGCTAAGCATGCTTGAAAGGCCGTGCTGGACAGTGCGGGTGTGATCTCCATTGCTGTTTACAAGGACCAAAGCTGGATGAGGGTGAAGGAAAATCAAAATGGAGAAATGGGCAGATGAGCCAGAGCAGAGACAAGAGTGTGTTCGCTCAGCCATTGCCCTCCATGCTGGTGTCAGCCATATCACGTGACAAGAGACAGGCGTGACAGGGGAAGATGCTGCTTGGTGGATGTCTGTGGCGGCATTTCCGGAGATGCAATCCTGAGGGTCTGACCTCATCAATGGGTTAATTCCCTGGATGGGTACTAATATGACGGCATTACTGAGAGGTGATGGCAGGCAGGAGGTGGGACCATGCTGGAGGAAATAAGTGACTAGGGGTGTGTTCTTCCAGACATATCTTGCCTTGGCCCTTTCCTATGGCTCCTTTCTCTGCTTCCTGCCCCTATGCTATGAACAAAAGTGCTTTCGACACCTTTGAAATCACAAGCCAAAGGAAATCCTTCCTGTAAAATTCTCAGGACTTCCATCTCTCTGATGCGAAAAGCCACTAAAACAGCTGTGTTTTGTCAGATTTGCTGTTGCAAGAGCTGCCTCTGAGCCACTACAGGGAGATGGACTAGCCTCTGCCTCCATGTTTCCAGGGAGGTGGGCTAGCCTCTGCCTCCATGTTTCCTTATTCACCCTGCATGTCTTGATTGCAATCTGAGCAAAGGTTCACTTGAGCATTGAGGGCACCAGCTGCTTCTTACACAGAGTGGCACTGTCTGTCCCTCCCTCCACCATGGGGACATCTTGGAAATGTCCACAACCTCGGTTGATACCCCCACCCACAAGGAAGAACAGCTCTTAGTGCTGTGACTTGGGGCTTTGAGTGTAAGGTCATCTGAACCCAAACCTCAAACTTCAGGGTGCCCAGACTCTTGAGAACCACACACAATGTTTCAAGAACTTGAAAACACTCCCCACTTGCTCTGGGGTATTTGGCCACAGCTCACCACCTCACCTCTCTGGTCTTTTAAGACCATCCCCTTTTCCTACTTAGGAAATCTGCTTTGGGATTTTTCTTTGGACTGGTCTGGGATTCATTACATAGTTGGGGGATGATACTGAACTCCTGATCCTCCTGCCCTCATCTGTGTGCTGGGATTACCAGCAGGTGCCACCATACCTGGGATTGAATGAGCTTCATGTGTGCTAGGCAAATATGCTACCAACTGAGCTATATCACCAGCCCCTTTGGAATTTTAAGAAGTAAATGTTTATGAATCAAAAAGCATATACAAAAGCCTTTACTCATTCAGCTCAAATGACTGCTAGTTTAGTAAGCTAGTCAAAACACACACACAACAACAACAACAAGGTCACCAACTCTTTGTAAGACCCATGGCTCATCTGGAACACCTGACTGCTTGTTGTCATTCTAGTCATGTGTGCAGAGGGCACAGCACTGTACCCTGAACTTGGCGTGCTGCCTGTAGGAAGCAGCCTCTAAGGCCGAGAGGAAAAATCCAAAGTGTCAAACCCACTTCTGGTCCTACCAGGTAGGCCTGGTCGAGGGCTTCCTTCCTGTAGTCCAGCTCCTGCTCCAGGTAGCCCTTCTGCCTGCTGAACAAGTCCTGGAAGAGAGGAGCATCATTAGGAGCCTGGCCAGAGCCAGTCAGCTGCAGGGAGGCGGAGTCTACCCACTAGTGACTCCGGGGCTGAGGGGTGGGGAAGCCTTGACTACCCTGTGTGAACTCCCTGAAGAGACCTCGCTGGCCTGGGCTGCCTGGACTATCCAGGAGAAGCCTAATCAGGATGACCCTCACTCCAGTTCCCTCTCCTCTTGGGTAACTGATAACAGTCCTGAGTCCCTGAGCTATGGCCTGGGACCTTGAAGATTGTCTTAACAGTTCTCAGATGCAGTGCATCCTCTGTCCAGGTCTCAGGTGCAGTTCATCCTCTGCCCAGGCTGCACTCCCTCCTCCCATGGATCTTACTGTTATACATCCCTGAAGGCCTCTGGTTCCCTCTACATGGGCCTCATCTGAGCAGACTGCATGTCCCATTCTACACCCATGAGGGCTTAGAGCCACAACTCACATTGCAGCCCCTGAATTTTATAGATGAGTAAACAGAAGGCCAAGGAGACCAGTGCCTTGTCCATGGTGCCACTGACGATAGGGGTAACTAGAAACCCAGGTTCTGGGGTTTGCCCAGGACTCTCTGGACACCACGTCCTGCGTTGGCTCTGTGTGATGGCCCCTCCTTTATTGAGCTCACAAGAGAACTTGAGATGCACACTGGTATAGATGGCTTCAGAGCCAGGACTTCTAGAATGGCTTCTCTTACCTCTCTGGGTTGAGGACAATGTCTCTCACAAGTAGGGCGCTCATGGGCATAGCACCCCTCATGGCCACAATCCAGTCAGGTCTGCATTAAAGAACCCAGTATATAACCAGGGAGGACAAACTCCAGGTCCCCAGGCTATCCTGTAAAGACTCCAGCTGTAAGCTCCTGTGTGTCATGCTGTGTCTCTAAACTTCTCAAGCTGCAGTCATGTGACCCAAGGGCCTGTGAGTCCAGGACGGGGGCACAGACTCAGAAATGAGTGTTAAGTTGAAAACTGGATGAGTAAGAAAGGAAGAGAATGGAGACGGTTCAGAGGACCCACAGGGGTGGAAGGCAGAGGATGGAGATGGCTCAGAGGACCCACATGGGTGGGAGACCGCTCAGAGGACCCAAAAGGGTGGAAGGAAGACAATGGAGACAGCTCAGAGGACCCACATGTGTGAGAGATGGCTCAGAGGACCCACAGGGGCTGAAGGGAGAGAACAGAGACAGCTCAGAGGACCCACAGGGGCTGAAGAGAGAGAACAGAGACAGCTCAGAGGACCCACAGGGGCTGAAGGGAGAGGATGGAGACGGCTCAGAGGACCCACATGGGTGAGAGATGGCTCAGAGGACCCACAAGGGCTGAAGAACTACAATGGAATTGAGCCTCCCACAAAGCCAAACACCTTAGCTCTCCATCCTGCCCCCTGACTCAGGTGGTGGAATCTTTACCTTCTCCTTCTCCAAGTCCATCATCTTCTGGGTGAGGGCTGCCTCTGTTCCCTCTATCTGCTTCAGCCACTAGAAAACAGCAGGACAGGAGGACATAGGCAAGTGAGCAGGGACACCGGGGGTCGGGGGATCAGGGGGACTGGGCCTTGTAACCCAGTATTTGTATACGGGCATTTGCTCAGGATGAGGAATGATACACATTCAAAGGGCTGTGTGTGCGCATGGCTGTGGCTGTGCGTGTGCCACCAGGGCTGTTTAAGTAGGTGCATAGGTGGACAGGAGCTGGAAGGGCTGTGTGTCATCCATGTGACCCCCACTGACCCTCCCATGCCCATCCCAGGGGAAGGAAGCAACTCTACTATTCTTTCAGGTGAAGACATGAAGGCTGCATGTCTTTGTTCAAAGTCACACAGCAGTGGACTAGCGGGTATACTACCCTGCTTGCAAGACAGGGAAGCCACTCCCATGATACTTCCAAGGCGTGCTGTGAGAGCAAGATGCAGAAAGGAGCTGGATACATGCATGTAGGGTGGAGAAACAAGGGCATGAAAGTGGACAAGAGCCAGGAGGACACTCAGACATGCCAGAGACCACATGAAGCACACGCTGATGGCTGCCATATGATCTACCTTCGGTCTGGACAGATGTCGGTACACAGTGTGTCCTTGTCACTAGGCTAACTTTGGGGTTGGGTGGGGGTGTCAAAGGTACCCAGGAGTATTCGGGTTTCATTGATTTGAACCTGAGTATGAATTATGACTTTGACCTTTTAGCTGTGTTGCGCTGCAGTCTGGCCTGGTGACGCTGTGCCTCTTTTCAGACTGAGGCTTCCCATAGCTTCCCGGGACTCACTGGTTTCTTTCTCCTCTGGCCACAGCTCTGAGGTCCAACTTAACCACCCTGAACTGCTCTAAAGCCCGCCTTGCCCTTCAGGCTCTACCTCAGCCCTCGAGAGCCTCACCCTGTCCAGACACTCCATGCTGTGTTTTACGCTCCTTTCCTGTTTTTCAGACCCACCACACTCCCTCCCCATGTTCATCACCCAGGTCAGAGCACCACCCAGTGCCTACTCCATGACAGACTCTACTGGGTGCCCCGACCCTTACTGCAGGCACAGCCTTGTGGAGATTTTCTCACATCCTCTACTTCTGACAACACAGGCAAAGCCAACACAGCATGGTCCCCTCTGAGGATGACTATGGTCCCTCAGTAGGCTCTGCTGGCCTTCAGAACCTGAGTCTGTCCAGGCATGGTGGCACACACCTGTAATCCCAGCACTCAGAAGGCAGAGGCAGGCAGATATCTATGATTTTGAGGCCAACTTAGTCTACACATGGGTTCTAGGCCAAACAGGACTTACACTGAGGTGCTGATTCTCCATCCCCACCCACTGCCCCCTCACCAAAGCCACATGTATCTTAGTTGTCTGAAGTGCACCTGGCTCCAGAGTGAGTCACCTTTCACCTCAGGGCCTTGGCACACGCTGCTCAGACATCAGCATCTCCATCCTCAACATCAGACCCAGGCCATTGTCAAGCTAGCATCCACCCAGCTCACCAATCTCAAGCTAGCTCTACCCTCTCCTCCAGCAAGCCCACGCTGCTTTCTGAGGCCACAGGCTCATCTTGTCCTGGTGCTCACATGACGACCCGATCAGTCATTTCAACTTCCACCAGCCACCCCAAAGGTGGGAAACAGCAGAGCCAAGCACACAGGAGGTTACAAATAAATGGCTGTGGGGTGGAGGAGGCCCATCATGGATGTGGGTGGAAGGGGAGAGAGAGGTGTGAAAGCCATGGTCAGAGATTCCTCCCACAACATCAAGGTCAGCGTGGCCCTGAGCAGCGGCAGACAGATGCCAAGCAGCTCCTCCTCACACAGCTTGTGTAGCTTCTTGTGAGAAAGATAAATGTTTCTGTTGAGGAATTTAGAATGCTGTGCTTTTAATAGCCTGATGTGAGCATGAAATACATTTTTGGAAAGGGTCCTAGGAATACTTTCCTGTTTTGAACTACACATGCCCTTTTCAGGACCATGGACAGTAACAGAGCAGGCTCAGAGAGCTGGCTGGCATTTCTGTTTGCGGACCTCACACTCCTTGGGGAGACTGTTTCTGCTGTACAGGAAAGAAGCGAGCCTGTCCACTGGGGAAGCTCCAGAAACTGGATGCCTTATGAGTACATCCCATGCCAGGGATCATTAGCTGCAGAGCCTGGGGAGGAGGGGCTCTGAAGTGGGGGTGGGGCTACTCTCCCCTCTCTCTATACTGACTACAGGCCAACTCAGAAAGCTTTGCTGTGGCTGAAGGTCTAGCTAGGTCTTGTCCTCTGACCCATGGCTCACAGAGAGAATATAACATGGCGAGATTTTTTTGTTGCTATCTTGGTTTTAGTTTTTAATATGTTTTTCATCTTCCTGAGCTCTATGCCTACTTTTCAGAGGGTTTTGAAGGAGAAGAGTATGCTTGACTGGGAGCCACAGGTGGGCCACGCCGCTTTATGTCTTAAATTTGAGCCTCTCTGTGGGTTCAAACCTGGGTCAAGGTTAAGCATGATAACTTGTGCTCAGTTAACCTGATCAGAGAGAGTCTGATGGGACTTATCTACAGCCCAGAGCTTGACCAAGCTTCTGAGGGGGCAGGAGGAGAGGGGCTGCTTGATAAGAGACCATCATAGGAACAAAGGACCACCTGTCCAGACTGGGATACACTTTGCCTGCACACCAAGAAATGGCCTTCATGCTGCTAAGGGAGAATTGGGCTGGGCTCACTGGGTACTGAGTGACAGTGGTTATTTTGTTTGTTTGTTGTTTGTTTGTTTGTTGTGAGGTATGTTGGGAGGGGAGAGCTTCCCGGGTCCCTAACCAAGTTCTCTGACATTCATACTAAAGGCACTGTCGTGCAAATTGTCCTCTCTGTAGTCAGTTGTCCCTCCTTGCTCTCGACTGTCCACATCCACATCTGAGGCACCTCCATGTCCCCGCTAGTGAAGGCTATACTGGTCACACAGCTGTCCCGCCAGCATTCTCAGAGGACTCATGACCCAGCTCCCACCCAGATCCGACCCCTATTCTTGGACATTTTCTCCAAGTAGGGAGGAGATGAGCAGCAGTAAACACACAGGATTTACTTTAGTTCACAGGCAAATGACTGAACCAGGGTCTGGCAGAGCCAAGTCCGAGGAGAACCAGCTGAAGGCCAGTCTCCAGCCTCCAGCCTTCATCCTTCTTCCGTGCACTCAGAGTTCTACCCACAGATATCATCCATGGACCCCCCTGCTGTCTGCTCTCATGGGGCACGGAGGGCCAGGCAGCCAGGAAGCCAGTATCGTTCTCTAGTATTTAGGACAAAGTGGACCAGGTAGGCCAGCATGGTGAGGTGACGGCTGCCAGAGCAGATGGGTGTCAGCTAGCGGGAAAAAGTGCGAAGAGTGCAGGCAGAGGTGGGCAAAGGAGGGCCGGCAGAGTGTAGCGGATGCCAGACAGGCCCCATTTCCTCCTCTGTAAGAGAACGCAAGAAGTTGAGTGGCCCTAAGGTGCTAGGGTACTGGACTTGGCACAGCTGCTGGGACAGGCGTGGAAAAAAGTGTCATGAAACTGTGCTGCCTGACACCTGTTCCCAGTGAGCTCCCCACCTTCCACTAGGGCAGCCCTGCCCCTGGGGGACAATTCCAGCGGCTGGAGAACCTACAATTGTCCACTTGTCTACTGTGAGCCAGCCACCCCAAGCCAAAGACCGTTCTTACTCTGTTCATCAAATCCTGAGAACCTAGAAGAGCAAATGGTGAAGTCAAGACTCAGACTAGGAGCGGCCTCCCTGGTAGCTAGGGAGCATGCAAACGTGGCCTTTCATACTCCGGAGAGTCGCTAGGCCCCCAGGACCAACAGGCTATGTCAATGTAGGACATACTGGGGCGTGTATCGTTAGTCAGCACTTGGGTGACTCTATAATATGGCCTGTTATGAAGGGCTGCAAGACCACATTTGATTTTGTTGATGCCAGGGGTCATATACTGAATCATCTGCCTAGCATGGTGGCAGACACTTGCTCCTCGTGAACCACCAGCCATCCAAGTGTGACTCACTGACCCACCATCCACTGGAGAAAGCAAACTTGGCCAGATAAGGACCATGAGACCTCGGGCAAGGCACCATCATAGTTTCTTATCTCAATGAGTTGTGTCCTTTACTTGGTTGGGGCTTGGGGAATGGATAGGCCCCCAGGGGAGAAAACTGTATTTTAAGTGCCCTTCTGAAGATCATGGAAGACGGAGTTCAATCAAGATCATTAAGACCTCATTATTCCAAAAGTGGCCTTTCAGAGTCTGACTTGTGTGAAAGGAGAAGGCCTGCAGGGAAGACTCTACTGCATGCACACTAGAAAGCTGCGTGCATCTCAGGATCACAGTCACACTGTGGGAGGCATGTGAGTCAGCATGTATTCTTTAAAAATAAACAGACAAAATTTAACCTCTTTAATATACACAAAGCATATACAGAAGGAACAGTTACAACAAATGCTGATGTGATGAATGGATGGATGGATGGACAGACAGACGGATGGATGGATGGACAGACAAGAAAGAAGAAAATGCACAAGGCACACTGGAATCTTTAAACACCGTACAATGGTAACTACCAACTTCCCATGGTTTTGTTCCTAGTAACAGCCATATTGAGTGTGGAAATCAACCATGTGCCAAAGTTTCAGGTTATGGCTCTAGAAACCATTTTGACCCTACAAAAACCCTGACAAGTGGTCTTACTATCTAGCCAGAATTCCTATTCCGGAATGTACTGTAGATGGGTTCTCCAATGCCTATAGACATGTATTGTGAAGGTGTCCCTCCAGGACACACTGGTAAACAGGAAGGGATGGGCACTCCCTGGACACTGAATCACTAAGGGGTGGTGAGGTTCTCTGTGGGTAACTGTGAAGGAATGACAGTGCCATCTGAATACATATTTGTGAGCCACTCTAAATTGCTTAGAAAGCAGGAGAGAAATAAAGCATGTTGACTAAGCCAAAAAAAAGAATGGACATTGGAGAAACCAAGAGGAAATAAAGCAAACATCATAGCTTGTCTCCTGGGACAGGGGCGTCTTCTTCCTGGGTTTCGAGGCTTTTCTGCAGTGAGCATGTGTGGTCCTTCATCTTGAACACGCAAAGGCATGCATATGTACATGCAGACGCAGACTGACCCACACACATGCTTCCAAATAAAGCTACACACCAATGTACAGTTTCTGATATGGTGCTGGGTGCTGGGACAAAATGTGAGCACAAGGACACTCCCGTGTCTACCTTTTCACACAGGGCAAGCACAGTTCCCGCTTGGATTACTGCAACCTGCTCTTCATTCCTCAAATTCTACAACACAAAAACGGGCAAGGACATTGACACTGGGCTTTGAGTCTAGGGCAGACGAGTCTGCGCCAAGCCCCTCTGGGGTGCGTCCCGATGATCAGCCCCCACTCAACATCAGGGGTCAGCCATCTGAGACAAACAGCTCCAGCTCCTCTGTGGAGACAGTTCACAGAGTGGCACCAAGGTTTGGGGATGGGACATGGTGCCTGCCTCTTTAAAGACGATCGTTATGCAAGGCAAAAAGATCACCTTTTAACCTTGGCACTTTTAAGTTGAGTAGTGGGACCCGTTTTCTCTGAATCAAGTTGTCTTTAGGCTTGTTGGTCCCCTGTTCACTCACAGAGTGTAAAGCTGTCCTCACTTCAGAACCCCACTCTGACAAACATAACCCAACCACCCACATGGGAATATAGCCATACAAAAGCCTTCCATTGTACTTCTCAGATGTTTTAAATCAAGGAAAAATTAAAAACAAAACAAGGTCACACAGAAAACCCCGATCAAAACGAGAACACAGAACCAGAAACCGATCGCTCATAGTTACCCCGTTATCGCCAAGGATATCTAAGTTCTTCATAAGTTCAGAGATATTCACACCCTGGAAAAGATTTCCAACGTTCATTCTCATGTAAACTGCTCACACAATCCACAGCTATCCTAGAGTCCGGGCTTACACGCCTCCTTTGGCTCTGACGCCACAGCAGGGCCCAGCCTCTGGCTCTGCTGAAGCAGGGAGGGGAAGGCGTTGCTATGGTTCATTTACTGAGATTCACTACAGGACAACCCTGCTTCCTGGGCTCACGGAAATCTGAAGGTTCTGCCTGTGAGGTCTAGTGGGGCTCCATGTCTGTGACCAACCACAGTCACCATCAACAAAGCCCTTGTTATAGGCTGGACACTGCAAAAAAGAGACAGCCAGTTGCTAGTTTGGGTTTGTAGTCTGCCTGTAGTTGGGCAGAAGTAAAGGGTGACACTTGGTGACCCCTCTCTGTCTTTCAACACAGCAGCAGAAGGACCTGTTCCTGACCTGATGGTGCAATCCCTCTTTACCACCACACCAGGTACTCAGCCCGCCCCTGAATGGCAGGTCCTTGGGGGCATACCCCACCCCCCAAACATGCTACCTTTACTCCTTCCTGGTGACAGAACAGCTGGAGTGCGCTGCTGTTGTTCTCGGGGAAGGTGGTGATTTGGAGGTTAAAGGCTGGCGACCTCCGCTCTCTCTCCTGGGGAAAAGACGTGGTTTAAAGACAGAACTCGACTGTGCTATCCACCTCTTGCCATTTTCCCAAGTCATCAGCAAAAAGTGACATATTCCGGCTGGCTAAGGCGCAACTACACAGCACACATCTTGACCACACAGTCCTGCTATGGGACGTGTGGTGTCTTCTTGCCTTTCCAGGGCCAGTGGCCTCTCTGCACACTTTGCTTCTTGCCTACTGCTGGGGAGAAACAGATAATATGGCCTCACAGGTCTGTCTGTTGCAACCCAAACCCCAGCAGTTACAAAGATGAGGCTTGATCAATACAGTGCATCAAATTCAATGGGGATCAGAAGCGAGCCACCACTGTGGGTTATTCTAGGTTGGATACATCATTATCCCATCTGATATTCAGGCTGCCTCATAAGGCATGTGCCCATGGAGGCTTAGGAATGCTGAGTCTGAGGTCCCCTGTTAGTAAGTGGCAGAACTGGGCCCACTTGTGATTCCTTGCTTCCCATAATGGGTGACTCAGCTCACAGACTCTTTTGGTTGTTTTTTTTTTTTCTTTGATCCACACTAACAAGATTCATGACCACTCTCCAGCCTCTCCACCCCCTCAGATTTACGGACGGATGTCCCAGAAGAGACATTCATCAGGCATCTACCATGTGAGCATTTTGTAAAAGGCCTGAGGGAGCCTCATTGCTTAGAGAGATTACAGCATCACGTTGGCAGAACGGTACCCAGGTCTCCAGCACGCTCTCTACATGAAGCAGGCTTTAAGCCCGTGACACTGGCGGATGAGTCATGACCGGTTAGCACAGAAAAACCCTCTCAGATTTTTCCTCAAATCAAGCTGCCGTGGAGGGGGGAGGAGCTGAAATTAAGTAGAAAGAACTTACAGACCTAGGACCCCTTCATAACACAACCAAGAGAAGTAATGGAGAGTGCTGTGACCCTAGAAAGCATGCCCCAACACACTGTTCCTGCATGAGCGAGGCTCGAGGGAAGGGGAGGGGCTGTTCCCTGAGTTTCCAGGAAGGCCCGAGCTGGCTCACCTCACTTTGTACTGCTCTATCAGCCAAGGAGGCTAAGGCTGCTTACTTCCCCCACAAAGCTTCCACCAGAGGTGCTATTAGGTAGGCTTTTCATAGAAGGGGGGGGGGGGTCGGAACTGCCCTTATTTCATATGAACAAATTCGTGAAACTGCTTCCCAGTGGTTCTGAAGGCGGTGGAAAAGCATACGGTATCTGTGGAGCTCTCAGGGGAAAGAAGGGGGTCACGCAAAAGACTTGTAGAAGGCATTCTCACAGTGGCAGGGTACTAAGCATGACCTCAGGACTTTCGATTCCTGATGAATAAGTAAAGGCTAGAGCTGAGGGACACTGCGACACCGGAAGGCGAAAGCCACGCGCCCATCCTTGTCAACAGGACACAGTTCGGGTCACAGACAGAGCTTCCACGACAAAGGAAGGAAAACAAGAGCAGAGGTGCCACAGACGGGTGGAGGCGCCCACGTGGATGGAGGCACTCATGCAAAGGTGTCAGCTGGAGAAGCAGTGCACAGTCACAAGAGCCTGGTGGAGACGCGTCACGAATGGAAAGATGTGTAAGATGCTGATGGCTTTTGAACAGAAACAGAAGGGGAAGATGAAGGTCTGTGAGAGCCAAGCAATGCTGTAACACACAGGATGCAGGATGGGGCGGGGAGCAACAGATTCCCCGGTGATCCCCCAGAGTCCTACTCACTGCCCTGTGGGGCTCCCAGAGGGACAAGGGTTCTATAAGCGCAGTGTCTGGGAGTTTGTAGTTGCAATTCGAATCACAAATAATTTTAGTTCAAGTGGCTGCAGAGCCCAGGTCCGTATTTACTGGCCAGAGGGTTTGAGCGAAGGAGTGGGTTAACACCAGTGTAAATACATCCTCCTGCCTGCCTCCACTTACCTTGCATTCGCTTTGGCAGGCAGAAAATAGGCCCACACTGCTATTAAACACAGCAGGGGTCAAGAGCCGGCTGGGTCTGACCCTGCTATCTCAGGAGAGGCCTGCTGCATGCAAGATCAAAGGTGTGTTCTCCATTGCAACAGTGCTGCCGTCTGGGGCTGCGGAAGGCACACCCAGGGACTGTGCATGCAGGAAAGTAGTTATGGAAATGAAACACAAATAAAAAAGGCAAAATATTGCAAAAACAACTTATTTTATTAAGTGCAAAACAAGCGGTAGGCAATAAATAGATTGCTCTGGTACAAGTCCACAGACGTCGCGAGCATCCTCCCAGGACACATTAAGGCAGTGAAGTTATCCCGAACATACAAATTTTTAAAAAGAAGAAGAAGAAGAAAAGAACGGAGGAAGGAAGGAGAGAAACGGTAACAGGTCCCTTCACGCATGCTTGGAAATGGCAGGGAGCTTTACACGAATTTCAGTTTGGGCTCAAAGAGAATGTCTGCTCCGTTTGGGAGCTTACAACAGAGAGAGTCTCTTACTTCGAGCTCTAGCACTCGGAATTCTAACAGCTCGTTCTGGTCCTTGGCGTCTTGTATTTCACTCTTTAGCTGGTTCTCCTCCATCTCCAGCCTGTAAATCTGGGGCAAAGACACCTTTACATTAACGGCCTCCATGGTTGCCCCATGCCCCAGGGATCCCTTGACTAGTAGCCAACTTTAGTGGGTGACCTGAGATAAATGGGGAACTGCCCACCCAGGGAAAAGGCAAGGCTGGCCACAAGTCCATTTGCTGGTGAGCCTGGAATGAGGGAGAGATGTTGGGCTGGCTTCACTGCCTTAGCACCCAGCCTGGACCGGGACACTAGAAGCTCCTTGTATTGCTGCTGAACCAATGAGTGATGGGGAACCGAGACTTGGGGCTATCAAGTCCCTCCCTGAGACCAGTGTGAGGGAAGCCAGAGTGCAATGTGGGCACTTCAGCTCCCAGAGCCCTCCAGGCCCTTCTAAGCTAAGCCTCAGGGTCAGCTGTGGCCAGTGCTATGGCAGGACCCATGGGGGTTTTAGGTCTTCTACTCCCCCATAAAGTTCTTAGGAGCACATCTGATCATACTGAGAGCACAGGCCAGCCTGGGAAGAGCTTCCAGTGCCCCCATGAGGAACAGGACAGATCTGGATCCCAAATCAATAGCAAAAAGTCCAATGCTGGGGTGACAGGCAGCCTTTCCTGTTCCTGTAGGCACCCTAAAGGTTCTGAGACCTGTCCCGGAGGACAGACCCTGCGTCTGGTCCTGACAGCAGTGGGGACAACACCTTTCCTGTGAGAACCACCCAGCTATGGGTCTCTGGCGTTGGTGGTATACTAAGCGCTCAGGGCAGGTGGGTGACCTCTGCAGTTCAGTTCATCACCGGGCCTGAGGCTCTCGCCCAGACATACCTTCTCCAGCAGGTCCTGGTTTGTCCTCATGAGTACCTGCTTCTCCTCTACCCAGGCAGAGTCCTGCAGGAAACACAGGGTATTTATTCACTGGTTCCAGCCTTGGCTGAGCCACCAACACCCAGGATAGAAAAGACCACAGACATGGACAGAGGCTGTGTGACTTCATTGCCTTCTAAACCTTTAGACCCAGGCAAAAGCAACAGCATGTCTGTGAGGAGTCCTTCTCTGCCCCCATAGGCACCAGGTCCCCTGGGCCATTACAGGACACTGCTCCATGGCGACCAAGTCAGTACCCTGCAGGACTTTGCACTGCCCACTCGAGTTTCCCTGAGCTCCACGCACATGCAGTGTGAGAACAGCACAGCCTCTATTCCGACAACATGGCATCCTCAGTGCTAGGCCAGAGCCCCAGGCACTGGCTCTCCCTCTCCCTCAGCATCAGGAGGCCTTCTGCCTAACATCCTGTGCTCCTGCTGTGCAGATTTGCACGTATGTTCGTGTGTGCTGTATAGATTTGCATGTATGTTCATATCCATCCACATTCCTCTCTGGGCACACTGTTCATACAGAAGGCTGCAACCTTTGTCCCATACTGGTGGGTACAGCTTGATAGTTTCTCTCATCTTCCAAAGGGATGGAGTTGTTACTCCAGCCTCCCCTCCAGACCACCAGATAAAGAAGCCAGACTATCTCCTTGAGGAGGGGTGAGCAGACACACAAACGGCAAGTGAGGTCATGTAAAGGCCTCCTATTCCTACTTGACCCACCGGGCCCCTGAAGCCCAGGAGAGACCAACAGAACAATCATTTGCAGAGCCCAGTCCAGGGCACTAATCCATAGATCTCAGAGCAAATCAAACCTGATACTTTTATCAAGTAAGTTTTGGGGCAGTGTGTTACACACCAACAGCTAACTGATAAGTTAGCAGAGCCTGGTCCTAGGGGCAAGGGCTCTGGTAAGCACTGGTCCTTTCCTACACACACACACATACACACACACACACACACACACACACACTCACACATATGAACGAACGAGGCAACATCAGCCTAGAAGAGGGAAACTGAGGCCGTGGGAAGTTAGAATGGGAGCTTGGAAAAGCCTCATCATCATCCCGGCTCTCCACTAGCCCACTCCTGACCTGAGTCTGCCACCTTCTCACTCTGTGGGTAAAGGAACCGAGGCTCAGAGGCTATGCAATGTGACTCAGTCACAGGAGTAAGGGGCGGAGCCAGTGCTTGACTCAAGGCTGTGTGTGCCCCTCCTGCCTTCAGGGAGCAGCAGCCACAGCTGGGGGTTAAGTGCCCCCACTCTTCTCACCTGGTCCTTTCCTGAGGGCTTTGTGGTAGCTCCTGGGGGGCATACACGGACTCAGCTCACTGGCACTCTGCCCCTATTTCCACCTTGCTTGCTGTCCTCAGCCCTCCCCATCACCTCCCCACTGGGGTTAGGTCGGCCGGAGCTGGCACTGAGCCACTGGGTGGGTCTACAGCCAACACTGTCCCCGACCTCAGAACTTCTTCCAATCCCTTCCCTTCTCACTAGTCTCCCCTACTCTCAGTGAGTCCCCCTCAACTCTGGACTCTCGCCTTAGACCTGTCCATACCCCCTTAGCCCCTGACGGAAGGCAGGAGCAAAGACCCTACAGACGCCCGTGCCTGCGCACTTGCCTCAGCATTTCACAGGCCAGGGGGGCCATGTGACTGGTTTGGGCCAGTGCACTATGCTGAGGCCGTGGCAGTCACCCAACCTGCTGACAGGAAATAAGTTCTAAGCAGAGCTGTTCCAAGATGGTGCCTCTAACTCGGGGTCTCTAGGGAACCTGGAAAGTAGATGAGCCTCTGCCTACAACAGGCAGCAACAAGAAAGGCCTACTGGCTGCCTCCCTGTCCTATTGTCTAGTAGGCCTAGCCTAATCTAATCAGAGAGGGTGTCCATGAAGGTGACCAATCTGGACTCTCCCATGGCACAGTCACAGCCAGAGCCTGTTGCTATGGGCCCTGCCAAGTGGTCCTCAGCACTTCAATTATATACAGGCAATTAAAATCTTGTCAGAAACAGCAGCTTTTCTTCAGGTTCCAGTCAAAAGAGCTATTGGCCATGTCTCAGTTCCAGGAGTCACCTTCTGTTTCCATGCATTTGGCAAACAAAGAAAAACCAGGCAAGACAGAGGGGAACGCTATGACTGTGGCAACACATTCCTCCCCTCAGCACGTCAAAGATATAATCGGACCCCAGAAACACCACGGGGACAGAATCAGGAGGGGCACAGAGCCCATGTTCCTGCTTACCTGTCCCTTCTCAACCAGCAGCTTCTCCAAGTCCTCGATTTTGGCTTGGCACCTCAGCAGGTCAGCCTGAAGCTGCTCCCGAGTCTGGAAGGAAAAAGACCGGGAAGTGAGCAAGTCACTTGCAGAGGTGACACACAGGCTGCCGACCAGACAATGCCTGGAACACGAGAGTTTAGGGTGGGAGGGTCCTGGTGCACACGTGCTCACACCTGCCTACTGGAGAGTTTAGGGTGGGAGGGTCCTGGTGCACACATGCTCACACCTGCCTACTGGAGAGTTTGGGGGGGAGGGTCCTGGTGCACACATGCTCACACCTGCCTACTTGAGGGCTCTGAAGTCCATCTACAGCTGCATCATCAAAGTGAGAGCTAAGGGGTCACAGGAGGCAGTGGCTCTAACTCCCCCAGTATCAGACAATCAAGGACAGTTTGGAGGAGTGCTGCTCTTCCAGAACCGGCCAGACAGAACTGTAAGCCTCTGGGTCCCAAGGCTAGCTCTAACAAAGTCACTGTTTTCTCATTCAGCAGGCATCCAGCTGTGACCTGCTTTGCAGAATCCAAGCTAGGTGTGCTGTCAGAGCCCCACAGTCCCGGCCCTCGGAGGTGTATCAGAAGTTCAAGATCATCTGAAAAATCAGGAACCTACTTCTTTTTCTGTTCTTTTTAAAATTTGAAACAAGGTCTCGCTCTATAGCCCAGGCTAGCCGAGTACTTTCTATGTAGTCCCAGCTGGCCTCCGGGTAATGGCAATACTCCTGTTTTAGCCTCCAAGTGCTGAGGTTACAGGTGTATGCCACCATGCCCAACATGTATTATGAAATCTCAACTAACTGGGCAAATGGATGATGTTAAAAGACAAAGAACTTAAGCCCACATAAAGCCTAGAAGTTCACATGCTGTGACCCCAAAAGACGGATCTTTCATTGTGGCAGAAGAGGCCACATCCCCTCAGGAATCTTGATTCCTGCATGCTCCCCTCCCCCACCCTAATCTGCTACCACCTCAAGTCCTGAGTGCCAAGCTCTTTCTGGAGACGGTGCCTCCTGCCTGCACCTGCCGTTTTCCTGAGACCTGCAAGCCGTTCTATTATATCTGCATTATTCAGCTACCCAAGCCCTCCCTGTGTGGGGCTCCCAAGGCTGTTTCCAGAGCATTCTGAGCCACAGTGGCATGGTCCTAGCTCTCAGTTCTGTTGGGAACCATCTGGGCATCTTCAGTCATCTCACTGCCTTCCTGAGGCTCAGCTTTCTTCTTTAGGAAATGGGACTGATTCATCCTGACTCATGGGGAGCAAGAGACAGCACTGGCCCCTAGCTGGTGCTCTCTGGTGCCGCCAGTACTCCCAGAGGGACGTATTGTGTGACGCCAAGGTGGGAGAAGGGTCAGGGGAGGAAGTTTCCAGAAAAATTCAGCTCAGCACCATGGATGTATGGCATGAACTGAGGTCACCTGCAGTGCCTGAGCCTGAGGTACCCCAAGAACCCCTGAAAGTGTTCTTTGCGGACACTGGAGGAGAGGAGGCACCTTGGATCTGCAGGGAGATGGAAAGGACTGAAGCCTGGAAGACTGGCTGGGTCTATAATTTCATCACTCCCTAAAACCCCATCCTATTTTAATTTATTGTGCGTGTCTGCATATGTGGAGGTCAGAGGACAACTTGAAAGAATCAGTTCTCTCAGCAGCTCTAGTTGAGAGCAGCAGACTTAGCAGCTGTTTAGTCCTCTGTCTGCCCCCCACCCTTCAATGCTGTAAGTGTTCTCTCTGGCAAACAGACGGCAGCTAGGAGTGAGGGCTACGGGATCCCAGGTTCCCTCCTGTTCCCAATCTCCATGCCCTTCCATCAACAAAGGGACACACTTACCCGGGCCTCCCTCTCAGCATCCAGCGTCCCCCCCACTTGCTCCTGAAGCAGGGCGTAAGCCCTCTGCAGGGCCTGGTACTCCCTGGTCAGCTGGCAGAACCTCAGGTCAGCCTCTTCTCTGGTTGTGGTCTTAACCAAACAACAACAACAAAAACAGTCAAATCATGACTTAGGTGACTTCAAGAGACAGAGTCAAGATAGCAGCAAATGCCCACATCTCTCCCCGGTGTCTACAGATGCCCAAGTGAACTGGTCATGCCAGGAAGGAATCAGGACCTGGAGTGAAGGCTACTGGGAGAAAAGGTCTTTTCCACCTTCAGTCCTTGGCCCCAAGCACTTGCAGGCCTCCTGGGAGCCAGGCTGACTCCACAGTGAAGGTTCACACTGAGAAGGACCTCAAGTCTTTTCTGAGAGTCTCTGTTCTGGAGACAGACACCTGCAAGCGGTCGTGAGAGGATGGGGCAGGGTGACTGATGTAGCAAGTCACTATTGCAGATAGCGACACTCAGACAGGACCTGGCACTCATGGTGTTTCCAACATGGGTAAGCCCCTCCAGCCATAAGCCACTGAATTTGAGGCCAGTGGGATGACTGGATGAAGGTGCGTCTTCCTGAGGGTCCTGATATCATTCAAGAGGAAACTCCAAGGGAACGGCCAACAGGAGTTTAAATGGACCCAACCATGGGTCTATAAAAGGCTGCTGCCCAAGGAGCTAGGACAAGGAGACACAGAACATAATGCCTAGACTCATCCTGGAAGTGCAGGGAGCCTTCCCAGCAGGGCACATGTGACACCAGAAAGCTCCATCAGCACTTGCCACAACCAGATGGAATCACCCTGAAGCCAGTGCATACCTCTTACAACAGGGCTCAGGAGACAGCCACTGAGAGGTACAGGGAGAACAGGCAGAGGAGCCTGCTGTGGGCTGTGGCACCAGGGGAAAGTCTGTACTAAATAACACCTAGAATTTATGAACGTCACCCAGTGTGACCACTTCTGTCACCTATGTGGGGGCAACAGTAAGAAATAAGCCACGTGTAATTGTATCTGCAATGCTGAGGCACAGGGTCAGTATCTGGGTGTGTCCTTAGCGGTCTGAAGTCTCAAGGGAGATCCGCTCTGGGGAAAGTGCTCATTGGTTACCCGCAAGGCAACAAGAACCAGCTTTCCCTGCTCTGGGGCTCTGATAAGGCACAGCAGGACTGGCCCCAGAGAGGAAGCAGCCCTGGCCAACATGAAGGTGGGAGGTCCCCAGCATACAGCTGTTTGCTTACCTCATCTAAGTCCTCCTCAGGCGTGGCTGGGGTTCGGTCCGTTCTGTCAGTGTTGTAGGATGTCTCGGACAGCGTTTCTGAGTCCACGGACTCCTCGTCAAATCCAAAAAATGTCTCCACAACATGCTTCTGCAAGAGATCGCGAGCAAGACATCAGGAGCAGGAGAGAACAGCTGCCTATCCGTGCCAGCCCAAGGCAGAGGGGCTCAGAGACCATCTACAGCTGTAGAGGACAGAGCGAGCTGCGAGGGCAGCTGAAGATGTGGCTAGTGTAGCAATGACAGCTTGGCAGGAGGTGCCACAGGTAGAGAGGTCTATGCAACTCCTGGGTTGGCCTTAAACACAGGGTTCTCTGAGCCTTAGGTCCCTCCCTGCAAGAGATGAGCTGCCACCCTTCCTGCACCAAAGGGGACCTCACCCACTCTGTGGCGCCAGCACCAGGAGCAGTCTAAGAGCTGAGTGGGACATCTGGCTCCAAAGGGAGCTGCGACATGGGTTGCCAGGAAAGGGGCACATGATCAGGGGAGCTGAACAAAGACCCCAGGGCTGAGCTGGAGAAGCAGCTGCATGGCCCATGTCCTTCCCAGGCCTGCCTAAGAGGCAACTTTTCTTACCTTTTGAGGACAGCACACTCAGAACACTTACACAATCAGAAAGAATAGTGGAAGAGCCCCGAACTCATAACCTCAGACTCCACAGTTTGAATGTCCTATGTGCCAGTGACCTGAGGCTCTGGCCACACCTCTCTCACTCCAAACTCTACAGGACGTGGGGCTTTACTCATTTGTTCACTCACTCATTCATTCATTCATTCAGTAATTGCTGGCTGAACAGATTCTGTGAGCCAGACAAGGTTGAGCCTAGAGATGCATGGTTAAAACCAGGCGGGGTAGCAGTCAGGGGAGTGCTAGCTGCAGGAGACTACCACCGTCAACCTTCAATCTCCATGCGCAAACCTGCTCCTGGCTCTAGGTACACTGCCCTTTATTCTCTTCCTAAACAACCCTCTTTGAGAGACTTCCTCGCCTTCACAGAGGGCTTCCTATGCCCGTGAGAGAACAGCAGCCTCACTGCAGTGGTCAGCTCTGGGCTCCCAGAACCTCCTCGAGTTCCACACCTCCTCCCCACCCACAGAGGAGGAACGGTGCACCTCACACCCCAAGGGCATCTCCTGCTCTGCAGGTTGACGCCAATGTTCGTTTGCAGTCATACGTGTGCAGATAGAGAACATGGAGGTTTGGGTCACGAGTGATAGCACCACGAGGATGTCCCTTTCACGTTGCAGAGAACGGGCAGAGAGGGACTTCTCGGCCACCTTACACAGTTGAGGTTTCTACAGAGGGTTTTATAAGGCACCCACTATCTCTCTCCACCAGAACGTTCGTCAAGTGATTTGGGGTTTGTGTGTGACCTCTTTGAAGGTTGACACGGCCAGAATTTACTGGGTATCCCCCTGCCTTCGTGCCCAGGTGGGCTGGAAGGTAGGGCAGTGAAACCAGGCTTGGTTTCATCTAGACCAAGTGGCTTTCAGAATTCTCTCCTGCCCTCAGAAAGGAAGTCCCAGGCCCACAGGTATTAGAAACTCCAGGGAGCAATGGGGTCTACACCATAGCTCACCTCTGCCCCAAGCTCCACACCCACCCCTGCTGTCGTGAGCTGCTGCCTGGCCAACCCTATTTTTCATAAACACTGCTAATTGCCTGGCCTCTGGGGACAGAGCTGTGAGCTGGCTGTGCTAACTGGTGGCTGATGGAGTGAGGTCTCTGCTCCTCCCCCTACCAAGTGGGCCCCAGGAAGATTCTAAAACGACATACCTCCCAAGATCAGGGCACGGGGTTTGTTAGCATTCTGGATGTGTCTGGGGCTAACAATCCTGCTCCATTACCTAGGCTAACCTGCTTCGGAAAGCCAGGGAGACCGCTAATTAAGTATCAACGACAGTCTAATCACAAGGTTTTGACTGCTGATGTTCCCAACTCAGCAGCCCAGGGTCTGGCCCAGATGGAGCCTCACAGCAGACCAGCCCCACAGAGAGCCGTGCTGCACCAAGGGAAGCTGGGAGCTACTTACAGGGTGGAAGCTGGCCCAAACCAAGAGGCTCAGTGAAATCCTGCCAGTGGAAATGAATCCATAACTATGTACAGTCGTGCATTTCCCCAGCAGCCCCAAGACAGCTGAGTTCCGGCACCTGTCAGGCTCTCAGGACACGGGGGTGGGTCGGGACATGTGGGTGGGTCAGAACACATGGGTGGGTCAGGACACGACACGTGGGTGGGTCGGGACACGTGGGTGGGTCGGGACACGTGGGTGGGTCAGTTTGTCTCCTTTACAAACAAACTCCTTGTTGCCTTATTTTCCTTTTTAAATAACGTCTCACGTTGTGCAGGCTGGCCTTGAACTCCATCCTCCAGCCTCCACCTCCCACAAGGTGAGATTACAGAGGTTGCCCACAGGCTGTCCCATGCCTGGAAGAGCTCCTTTGTCTAAGCGATGAGATGACAGAGAAGCCGGTACAGCCACCCCACCTGGTACAGCTTCACACACACAAGACAAAACAGAAAAACCAGCTTGGTGTTTAAAGTGAACATGGTGGCTATCTCCTTGAAAAATCGCAAAACTTGTTCCTGGCTGTTTCCTCGACACACAGGAGGCGGCCCACACCTGCTTCCAAAGGCTGGGGAGAGCCACCAGGAAATGTTGCTTCCTGCAAGCTGCCGAGTGGTGGACTGTGCTCCTTGATTCTAAGCTCCCTGGGTATGTACCCCTTGCAACTCTTAGACAGGAGAGTTCCCAGAATGAGGGCTTGCCCTTCCCGCTCACCCTTCTCACAGCGCAGGTCAGTCTAGCCAACTGCATTTCTATGAACCAATCCAAAGTTTAGAATGTGGTTTGGGGGCTGGGGGTGTCTTTTGGTTGGTAGAGTGATTATCCAACATGGTAGGGGGTGCGTGGCTGTGGGTGCTGGCAGCTATGAGTCACTGGACACACAGTATGTGATGGAGGTAGAGACTGGAGGGTCAGAAATTCAAGGTCATTTTCAGATACGTGGTTAAGTTGGAGGCCATGCTCACTGAGCTACTGTGAGATGTGTGTGTGTGTGTGTGTAATGTAATTTTCACCAAAATGCCTGCAGATAGAATGTTTCTTCTCCACACACACACACACAAGCTCACACTTGGCAAATAGAAGGAAATCCTCTCTCTCTCTCTCTCTCTCCCTCCCTCCCTCCCTCCCTCCCTCCCTCCTCTACTAGACCCAGCACCTCATCAACTCCTTTCTTTACCTTCCCAGCATCCAGTCAGAATCACCTGAGAGATACAGGATCTTCCAATGGCAGCCAGGAGCTCCAAGACCCTCCCCACCCAGCGAGCTGCATACCTTCATGCCTATAGGTCATCTCCTGGCAGCCAGAGAAGTAGAGGCACACGAGGGCACAGAGGCAGAGGAAGAAGGAGAAATAAAGCACAAACAGGATATACTCCATGCTGGGGATGGTGCAGGCACTGCTAGCCTGTGCTGGCTGGACAAGCCATCCCCAGCTTCTCTCTAACCCCAGGAAAAGGCACTCCTCACAGCTTCCTGAATACTGTCAGCAGCAGAAGCTGGAGGACAAGGATGCCCCAAGGGTGTCCCCTTGGTAACAGCGATGCTGCCTTGGATCGGGTCCCAGGTGCTGGTGACAGAGCTATCAACGGGGAAGAGCCAGTTTCCAGGCCAGCCCCAGGTATTCATCATAGACACAGCTTCTAAACCAGCATGTCCTCTGGGAACTTCCCTCCTAGGACCCAGCAGCCTCCATTATGCCCATAACTGTTGTCAACAGTTTCGGGTCCCTGGATAACTGTCAAGTCCCTGGGCACAGCAGTAGCAACGGTACCATGATGAGAGCCTGCTGCTCTGTGCCAAAGTCACAAAGAACTGGGTGCCTCCTCCCTCGCCTGTCTGGGACATCTTCCAGCTAATCGCCATCACCCACGGGTGTCCTGGGCACACACAACCCACTGTTGTCTCTGAAGTGTGTCACTCAGGGCTTATTTGCCTTAGCACTTACACGGCCTGGCACAAACCACTACAGAAAGTCAAGGGGAAGCTGTGCCTCCTAAGTTACAGGGGAGTCATCTGTCCCTGGCCTAGACAGAGGTCCAGGGTTAAATAAAGACATGCAGCCCTTACAGAAGTGCTACTAGGACAGGAGAAGTGGCCCCTCATATCTCCAACACGAGAAAAGGACCAGCCCTGCAGACACGCTGGGCATAAAATGTACGGGAGCTTCATGTAGTCACTGCTCTGAACCTCTGGGCTGGTGGGGTGCCACGCTGGCAGCTGTGAGTCACCAGACACACAGGACACGACGAAGCCACACAAGCTCCTGGGGCAACAGCTGGGAAGGACTACCTAGGAGCGGTTTCAGCTGCAAACAAGCATGGGGATAAAGGGGCCTTTAGTTGCTGTGAAGCGGCAAAAACCACACCGAAAAACAGTGGGATGCCCTAGGCAGGAAGTCACACCATAGCAACACCTGCTCCTGAGATGCCCGCCAACCCTCTGGCCCTGCCTTCCACAAGCAGCAGATTTAGCCTCTAGGCCCTGGCTTAGGTTTGGATGACTAGGGGTGCTGTGAGCGGACTCATTACTGTCAACAGTAAGGCGGGGTCCCTACCTAGAGAGGAGGGGACTCAGACTGGGCATGGCCAAGCAGACTTCACAATCCTTCAGGGTGGATAACATCACAGGAGACCGACAGTGGCCCAAAGGCTGGACTGTGGATTAGAAGGGCCTGAGCATCTGGATTTAGCAGGCCAACCACGATAAGCCAGGTAGTTTCAGCTCTCAACCTTGACACAGCCTAAAGTCGTCAGAGGGATCCCCAATTGAAGCACTGCCTTGATAGGAAGTGCCCTTAGTCAGTCAGCCACTCTGGAGGCACCTGCTCTGTGCTGGACAGGGAAACAGGACAGGAGACACAACCCACTGTGCCTGCTATACACAGGTAACTCACTGCCGGTGCACTGTGAACTTCTCTCTTGATTTGGGGGCCAGCGGGAGATTCCAATTCTTTAATTCCCAGCATTCCAGCACAGGTCCGGCCGGCACTCCTATCTGAGACGCTTGGGGACACAAATCTGAGCTTTTCTGACTGGCAGAAATTTTTATAGACTTTATCAGTTAAGTATCCCTAATCCAGAATCCAGAATCTAAATGTTCGGAGTTGATACTGAAAACATTTTAAATTTCAGAATTAGAGTCTGGAATCAAGGCTTCACAGCCTATGTAGGCTTGAAACAGTCAGACCTCAGGAACGAATTTCTGGGGAACCTCGAGTTATGGAGTTTTTAGTGCCAAGCTTGTTCAGCGAACCACCCAGCCGCCCACCCTCAGTATTTTAACTTCTGTGTCAGGGTGGAAGAGGGCTCCCATGCACTACAGACAGGTATAAGAACCGACACAATCTTCATTCCAGCAGCAGGGGGCGCTTTCTTCCCATTAGTCCCAGCTTCCAAACGCTGAGTTGGCAGCAGCCAGAATCATTCAGACTTTCTGAGCAAAAGGACTTTACTTCAGTGACATCTACAGAAGCAAAACGTCCCCCAGAAGGGGAAATGGCGGGCAAAGAGCTCTACGAAAGGCAACGTGCAGCAAGCAGTCCGTGGAGCCTGCTGAAAGCGGTAGAGTGAGGTCACCGTGAGGCAGAAACAGGTACTGCAGTATTATTCCTAACCACAGGAGGGCACAAGTGAGCTCTCAGCCGTGCCACCCTGAACAAGTTTACTGCCCACACACTCAGCAGACTGTGTGGCCATAAACATTCATGTTTACAAGGCCAATGTGTGATGCTGATGGACATTTCTAGAGTGGTGCTGAGTGAGAATGCAGTCAAGTCCCAGCCGAGTGTTGGACAGACACTGGCCCTGGGGAGGGGCCATGGTTCCATCACTTTTTTCTTTCCCAGCTTTTCTAGGATTCGGTAAACACAGCTGTGGATATACACTAGCTGTGCTGGACCACTTGCCAATCCTTCTTTTCTGTCTGTCTGTCGGTCTGTCTGTTTTGTTTTAGAAAGGATCTTTGGCTGAGCTGGCTTGAAACTTGCTGTGTAGACCAAGCTGGTCTCAAACTACCTCCCTCTGCCTCCACTGTGCTGGGATTAAAGGTGTGCACCACCTTGCCCAGCCTCCTGGGCTTCTGAGCTCAAAACACAGAGACCTGGCCCTGACTTCTTCAGCCTGTTGGAGAAAGCCGGGCCCTGAAGCTCAAGTGAGCTGGAGGTCCAGCCTCATCAGCGCACTGCTCTGCATCTGTCTCCTGTAACTGAAAGAGACGGGGTGGCTGTGGGAGACAATGAGATTATGGCATGGCCACTAATGACTCCAAGCACCCAGTGAGCTCAGACACTGACTTCAGTGCCACCACAGGCGACCTGTGGGCCAGATGGGGCTCAGAGACACAATTGACATGCTCTAGTAGTTCTGACATTTGCATCCACATTAAAAGTCTTGGATTTTATACAAAGGTGTCATGACTAAAGTGTGTCCCCTCAAAAGAGACATTGAAGCACAGGCTGTGGTGTACAGCGTGTGAATTTACTTGGTCAGTGAAAGGGAGCACACTGAGGCCAGGGGAGGTTCTGATTCCACCATGACTGGTCTCCCTAAAGAAGACGTCAGTGTGACCTGCAGGGACTGACATAGTGCAAGAAATACCCCCATCACTAGAGCTGAAAGGAAAGGGGGAAGGGAGACCTCCAGCTGCCAGAGGGAAGGAGCATGGCCTTGTCAGCACCTCAAGGCCAGACTTCTGGCCTCTTGAATTATAAGACAGTAACTTTCTCTCATTCCAAGAGACCCATTTTGTAGTATTTTGTTCAGATAGTCCTGGGATAATAGTATGTCAGGATTTACACCTCCCTCACCTCTTTGTTTACCGAGGATAGCCCAGTCTGGCCTCAAACTCACCAATTAGCTGAGGCTAGCTTTGAACTCTAGATCTTCCCTCTTGCACCTCTTCAGGGTGGGGGTTATAAGTGTGTTCCACCCCACTGAGGTGAAGACTTACACTGTCCTTGAAATAACGGAATGCCTAGCATCATTGGCCCTCCTTATGCTGACCAGTATTCTGTGCCAGAAGCGGCAGCATCCCTACCACTCCCTACGGTCACCCAGACTCCACCAGAGAGCACGTCCTTGGCATTTGTTATCATGCTTTCATGGTTTTGCTTACATGAAAGTATTTCTCTACAACCATCTCTATCAGAAGATGAAGCCAGTGGGTCCCAGTTCAGGAAGGAGCAAACCCATCCCAGACAGGTGGGCAGGGTGAGGGACACACAAACCTCGCCCTTCTTCGAAACCTCCCTCGAGGGTCTCTAAATCTCCCCAGTCATTTCAGTGCTACCTCACCAGGACACCTAGGCTGCCTTACATTTTACAAAAAGAACACCGTTCTGTGTAAATCACAAAAACTGAGTTCCCAGAGCATGGTGTTGGGTGGCATAAGGCAAGGCCAAGGGTCCTTTAAACCCTTCAGAAGGACTGGGTATTTATGATTTTAATTTTGAACATATATAACCCAAGGTCCAAACACAGAATTCCATTAGTAAGTTTTCCATGAATAAATTACCATATCTAGGTCACATTACTGTGCTGTAATGTATGGAGCCTTGAGACAGCCATAAGAGCCTTTCTTTCAACAACCAACACAGCGGGTCACACAAGTCAAGCCTTTGCTCTGGGTCTGTGAGTGACCCTGTGGCCCTCTCTTCCTCTAAGACCGGCCTGTCCTAAAGGCTCCTTATATGTATGATGACAGGCTCACCTTGGGGGGCTTCAGGCTCTTCCCTCGATGCCTCTTGGAGCGCAGCAGGCGTTCTCTTTCCTGCAGAGAAGCACACCCACCCGTCAGCACCTGCAACCAGGCCCCAACGCCACCACACCATACAGTTAAGACCCAGAGATTCACCTCTACTGTGTGGGCTAGGTCATGTTCTAGGCACCCCACTGAGAGTCTGATGACAAGACACTCACTCGGGCCCTTGTCTGGGTACAGATCTCCCAAGGAAACATCCACCCTGATGGGCCATGCCATCGTAGGCAAGCCTGGATTATTCTTTGAGTCAAGAGGCTGCAAAGCCTAAGAGGCGTGGCCTCGGAGTAGTTCTGCTGGCCTCGGCAGGGTCCACAGCAGTTTGAGGGGCCTGTGACCTAGCTCCGACAGAGCCAGGGTGGAATCTCCTACAACCGGGAACTGGCCAGGTGACCACTTTATTTTCTCCAGTTGTTTCTTCCGTGCTGTGCACATGGGGCTAGGAGCTGTCCTGCAGCATTGCTTAGTGGGTATCCTCTGCAGAAAGGGCTCCTGTGGGGTAGGAGTGGCAGAGCTGGCAGTGTCACTGTACCCAGATGGATACAGGGTCTCTCACTCTCAGCACGGCCTTTTCCCTCCAGCAGGACAAAGCTTGACTCAGCCTGAGCCTGGGCATCCACCCATCAGACCCCGGCAGGCTGGTCATGATGGTCCTAGCGCTGCTCTGGCTTGCCACTTTTCTTTTCACTCACTGTCTCTTCAGCAAATGTGTCTTGTCATCCTTAGCTATATTATGCTATCTGGATAATGAAGCCAAGATGGATAGCTATACGGTTAGTGGAAGGAAGGAAGGAAGTGTGGGGGAGACAAGGGAGGGAGAAGAAGACAGAAAAAGGACATAAAATCCTTCTAGGATATGGTCATGGCTTCCTAGCCTTCAAAGTCCTCTGGATGGAACCTTCATATACACACAGGTCTCGTGAGTAAGCAGAGCCCACTCTGCGTCTGAGCTCCAACTAAGTCCACTGAGGGCGCCGCCAGGTTCTGACTTCTGCATAAAACATCCCCCTCTCTACAGCAGGCTTACTCCCTTCTCCTTTCCACAGAACCAGCCCTGAAGAGTCAGTCTCAAAGCCCACCCGCAGCCTTAGCTGGTCCTTCAAACTCGGGTCTGATAACAAAGTTCAGATTTTCAGGCTCAAACTCCCAGTATGCAGCAGCTAAGCGCAAAAATAAGTATAAGTTAATAATAACTCAAAGGCCCCGCAGAACAGATCCATGAGGCCTCTTCACCGCGGCAAGCCAGGAGCCCATTGAAAAGTAGGTTGCCATGGAAACTGTTCCCAGGTAGCACTGATCTCATTTCAGCTGAGCTGAGACTCCTTTCTGGAGCATCACAGGGGGCCCAGTGCCTGAGGCTGGGTTGTCAGGGCTCACTGTTGACTCTGCCTCCTGTGGTGCCATCCTGGCCAGGAGGGACAACATACCAGTGAGAGGTCATCGATGACATGCTGCTGCTCCAGCACCTGCAGCCTCAGGAACTCAATCTCCTGCTCATCCCTGGTCAGACTGAGGTCATTCAGGGATGTGTGTCGCTTTAGTGAGGCCTGGGCAGACAGCTTTTCTTTCTGCAGCAGGAAGGAAAGAGAGTGCCAAGGTGTGCTACAGTCTGAAGGACAGGGCTTCTGTGGGGCTCAGGGGGCGGGGGTGACAGACAACTGGTTCCAAGATGGGAGATACAGAGCTGCAGGCTAAGGCCAAGCCAGAGGTGTGGTCAACGGTGCGCACTGGAGAGGGTGGAGTGGCAGGGCGTGGGGCAGAGGATGTGCTATGCCAGTCTTAAAAGCTGGAAAGCAAGCGGGGGCGGGGGAGAGTCCCCACCTCAGGCTGCCCACACTCACACCTAGGCCCCAGTCTTCTAAGCTGTGAAATGGGCGCTCTGATCAATGAACATGAAGGCATCTTACAACCACCCAGAAAACAGACACCAGTTATCCCTGATGGAGGAAAACCCGAACCCTGTTTCCATATACAGCCCCAACAGCAGTAACTGCTCCCAGAGGAATCCATGACGCATGAGACAGTCACAGACCATCATCCAGTGGATAAGCCTGCCCTATTGATTCTACAAGGCCAGCTGGGATTGATCCCACTGCTGAGGTGTTCAGAGGGAGGGGTTGGTGGAGATCATGGACCACAGAGTCTGGACAGGGGCGGGAAGCCGTGGGGCGGGAAGCCGACGGGGTCCGTGCTGAGCCTCACCATCTCCACGTTCTCCCTTGTAAGGCTCTTGAGTTTCTCCTCCATCCTCTGGATGCTGTGCAGCAGGTCCTCGTTCTTCTTGTTCATTCGCTTGTTCTTCTCCACCAGCGGCTTCAGCTGCACCTCTGTCTCCCGAGAGCGCTTCAGCTGCAGTGGGTACAGACATAGGTCAGGGGACTGGATGGACCCACGGGTGGCCAAGCTACCCCAGCAGAGCTTCAACACTGTCCCTTCAGGAGTTTAACCCCTGGTGGTCAATCCAGTCACCTAGTTTTTCCTGGCCACTCTTTGGCAGATGGCAGGGCAACACTCTGCAGACAACAGCCCTGGCCAGAGCTGGGCCACCTCCTGAGCATGAAGGGGGTCCAGTCATACAGCCTGGAGGGACTTACCACAATCTCCAAGCAGACAGTCCCTAAAAAAGTGAGGTGTCCTTCTAGGCTGTCATTTATTCAGCCTTTGGGAACCACTCTTATGCCGCTCTTGGCCATTTGATCTTCACCCCAGTTCCCAACATCTTTGAGGTAGGAAAGCTTTGTGATCAGATCCACCTTCTAAAAAAGCCCATGGGCCCATGGTGAGGGCCAGACCAGTGAGGTTGGCGAGGGGTCACAAAGGGCGACAGGGGGATAGAGCAGAGAGCTGCATAGTTAAAAGTGGCTTCTCCTTTTCCTCTTAAGCACAGTAGGTGGAATGGTAGGGTCACTGTCTAGCTGCACAACCATGGTCAAGTTCTCAGCCTGTTCCTTCAGCTATAAAATTGAAGCATTGGCTGCACCTGTCAGCTTCTGTCTTCACAAAGCTCTTCCAGTGGGCCACAATTAGAAGCAACTGAAATCTCCTCATATCACCACCAGAGAAGTGGCTGCCATGTCATCAAGTCCTCCCCATGAACCTGAACTAGCTCTGACCCTCTCAGCTCTCTCACTGAACCCCCCTTCTACCCAGGAGGGCCATGGCCACTATGCTGTACACCAGAACATGAGCAAAGAAGTGGCCCTGTGGTCACTGAAGACACAGACACAGAACAAGAAGCAGGAATCCAGCACAGAGGCTAACCCGAGCACCCACCCTCAAGTTCTGTGAATGTTAAACTCTCTGATGTCCTGTGTCAGGTATCAAAGGCACCACGTGACCCGTGAGCCACCTGTGGAGATGTACCCCTGCTCCCATTCCAGGAATGATGGCGACAGACTCTCAAAAGCAAAGACAGGCACAGGCTTCTTGGCATTATTTACAGTAGTAAAGAAGCCAGGAATGGCCTGAATGGCCATTAGGCAGGCTGGTCATGGCACTGCCACACCACAAAGTCCAAGCCAGCAAAGCCTACACCTCATCACCAGGGATGCAGGCCGCACTGATGGGTCTAAGCCAGGAGGGCGCATGGCAGAGCATTAACACACAGGGGGTGGGGAGACAGAATGAGCCCATTCTGCAAAGGCAAAATCAAACCACCAGGCCTTCGGGTGTGGATGTGTTGATTGAAGTGAAATGTGTAGACGCCCAGATCAGAAGTCAAAAGAGTGGGGAGTCCTGACTGCCTCCTCATTTCCAAATTTGTTCATTTTCCTGCCCTCCTCGGTAAATTACCATGTGGTCATGAGTGTTTATTCAGCTTATGAATATGTAAGCAAGAAGTAGAAATGGCATGGGTGGACAGCCCAAGTCTGATTGTCTGGTTGTCGCCATCGGAGGTATGCCTCCAAGCACACTAGGAAGAAATTAATTTTCTTTCTGCTAAACCTGTGGAGATACATTTTCCTTCACAATCCAGTCCAGAATGAACACCAAGATCATGAGGCTTTTGCCGAAAGGTTTGTGCATTAACATGAAAACTAGCTTAGCTGTGGCCAGCAGATGGCTCAGCAGGTAAAGGTGCCAAACCCAAACCCATCCCCAAACCCACACAGTGAAAAAGGATAGCCAGCTCCCACAGTTGTCCCCTGACCTCTACAAGTGGCACACACAATAAAGAAGATACAATGAAAGAAAGAATGGGGGTTAAAAATAAAAGAGGTTTAGCTGTTTCTATGGCAGAAGGAAGCATATTTATGCATATACTAGTTTTGCTAAAGATTTATTTTAAACTATAAGTCTGCATTCATTTCACAACACACACAAACAGAGAGAGAGAGAGATCTAAGACAGGATCCCATGTAGCTCAGGCTGGCCTCACGACTTGATATGAGCTGACGGACAGCCTTGAACTTGTGATCCTTCTACCCGCCCCCTTACATGTTGGGATTAAAGGCTGGAATTACATGTGGTTTACGGAGCGCTGGGGATGGAACCCCCCACCCCACCCCAGGATTCCTGCATGACAGGCAAATGTTCTAGCAACTAAGCCACCAGCATGCATGTTCATCACTTTTAAAAATAGAAATGTATCAACTTTTATGCCAAGTAAATAAAGAATAAGAGTAGAATTATCCATATCCACACCACCTAAAAGAACAGCTTTCCAGATCCAAAACCACTACACAGCCTGCCCTGTAAACCACTTTCATCCTGCAATCTACAGGCAAGGAGTCCCCTGTCGGTGACATCTGCTCCTCAGGACTGTGCTGCGTCAATCTGGAAAGTCCCCACAGTTCCTGCGCAGCGTGGGAGGCTTTAGTGTTGATTGCTTGTGTTTGCTGTTGCTTTCTGTTGCTAATATTACAAAACGCTGTAGCGAGCACCCTATCCAGCGCCCTCTCACTGACTTCCCCAACTGTTTTCTAAGGATGGATCCCTAAACAGACAACCAACAGAGAGATTTCTTCAGTGAATGTGACACACCACAAGCACACACACATACACAGAGGAAGGAGGGACCAGGAGGCCCTCACAGGAGGCCCTCAGCATGCACTCTCTGCCCCTTGGCCCAGCCCTTTCCTCGCGTCCACAGACGCCATGTGTCTTGCTTGGTTACCAGTTCATTCCGCTCATCTGCCAGCAGGGTGTTTCTGTCTTCCAGCTTCCGAATCACTGAATTCAGTTCAGCAATTTTTAGTTGAAATCGCCTCACATCTCGCTCATCCATATGTTGATCCTAAAAATAAAAACTTGGAAGAAGTTCAAATGATTCCGTGGAGGCTCTGCAGACCCAACGATGACACAATGGGCACAGACCTGTCTAGAGGACTGGGTGCTGAACAAGGTGGCAGACAGACAGACAGACACTCCTGCTACATCCTTCAGGGACACTTCACCTCAACCCGCCTGAGACCTCAAACACCTCAGTGGGGTTCCAGCACCAGCCCAGGGAAGCTGAAGCTCCCACACACATGCAACCCACCTACCCTGCGTGTCTTATAAAGACCCACCACAAGTCAGTGTGGTTTCTAGAACAATGCTAGTACATTCCTCCACAGCAGGCTGTCATGCTTGGCATTCAAACATCAGCACCTAATGCAGCATTCAGCATAGAGCATTCATGACATACGAAGAGGCAGAGGGGAGGGAAGGAAGGAAAGGAGGGAGGGAGGGAAGGAGGGAGGAAAAAAGGAAGGAAGGAAGGAAGAAAGGAAGGAAGGAAGGAAGGAAGGAAGGAAGGAAGGCTGGCTTGCTTCAGCCTCCTTTTGCCAAAGGACAGGTGGCTGCCCCCACACACTCTTGCCCTGGCATGTGTTGCTAGCCACTAGGAAAACCCTGATTGCCTTTGAGCCTCTGATTTTGCCATACTCCGGCCTGCCCAGGGCCCTCCTCCTGGCAGAGTCCCCGCTGTGTACCCTGCTCTGAGATGTCCGTATCTCTAACTCCAGCACCAGCAGGCTCAGAGAGTTCTTCACCATTATCTTCTCAGGGCTGAGTGCTGGGCCTGGCACATGCTGAATATCAGTAAAGGAGGGAAGGACCCAGGGAGGAACAGGAGAGGGGAGGGGAGTGTGAGAGAATAAGAAAGGTCAAAGAAGGGCTGGCAAGCTGAGCAGGGCAGTGGCCAGCAGAGGAAGGATGCAGTGGGTGGTCTTCTCTACAGCTAGCAGAAAATACTATCCCTCACCTGCCCACCCATGAGCTCCGCCATGTCTCCAATGCCAGGAGGGAGCTCCCGCTTTGGGCTACTGTGGTGACGCTCAGCCTCCTTGACCTGGACCAGCTGCTCATCCAGAGCCTCCTTCTGAAGTAGCAGCCTCTGGGTCTGCCCGGCCTGTACGCCAAGCTCCTTCTCCAGGGCCAGGATCACCCGCTCCTTCCCTTTGATCTCGTCCATCTGGAAGAGAAAAAAAAAATGGGCCTTCACAAGCTGACTCTGGACCGGGGTGGTCTCATCAGACTTTGGATGAATGCTGGGTCCACTGAATTGAGAATGATCTGGACGTGGGGCGGTGAGAGTCTGCAGCCCAGAACCTCATTTCACAAACACGGAAGACACAGCTCTAGGTCTGAGCATCTACAGCGTTATGGGCACTTCCCGCTGCAACTCAGCCCTCCTCAGTCATCTCTCCACAATAGAAAACACATGATATCCCAAGACACCCCCAATCCATGAACGCCCTATGGGCCCCAGGCAGGCTAGCCCATCCTGATTCCTCACAGAGGAGCTTCTGGAGGTGACTGCTCCTGCTCCCACTCATTCACCAATTCCTTCCTGGATGGCTGGATCCTACAAGCAACTGATGCAGATATGCATGTCCCCAATCCTAACTTCCCTCGAAACCCCAGAGCCACCTAAACGCTGCTTGGGCTCCAGTGAATCCCCTTTGCAGGTGTGGGTAGCCCCCTATTGGGCACAGAGGGACACTTATATCCTTGCCTACTCCAGCCCAGTCAAAGCCAGTCTTCCCTGGGCAGTATATCAAACAGGGAGCAGAGCTTAGCATGCCTGGCCAGACAGATCAGGGAGCCACACAGACAGAGGTTTGCAGAGGAAACCCCAGGCCATCCTTCAACTTACTCATATGAAGTCAGCCACCAGGGAAGTATCCCTGTGAGGACAAGGTCCTAACTAGAGTATCACCCAGAATCTTCATCTTCTCTGAGACCTCTGGATATGTTTTTCTTTACAAGGAAACGCTTGCATAGTCAGGGACCAAAGAACCAGAAGCAACCCCGGGAGCTGGGAAAGGAGGAAAGAACCCTCCTCCAGAGCCTTCAAAGCCACTTGGTCCTGGTAACACCTTGAGTTTGATGTTCTAGAGTCAATAGTAAACCAGAAGGGACTCTAGATTCTCCCCCAGAGCAGAGTTCCCCGGGGCTCCAGGTCCCACCAGCCCAGGGAGACTCTGCCTCCTCCTTTCTGCTTCCTAGCTAGCCTGGACATGCCCAGACCTCCTGCCCTTCACACTCTAAGACAGGTGGATTCCTGGGGCTTAGTGCCATGGGTCACCCTCTGTGGCACCTCTTGAAGACAGGTTTTGAGGCCTAACCCCACTCCAGGCTGGTGCAACAGTACAGTAAACAGACTCCATTTTACATTTTTGAGTTTCTGGGTTTTTTTGTTTTTGTTTTTCGAGACAGGGTTTCTCTGTAGCTTTGAAGCCTGTCCTGCAACTAGCTCTTGTAGACCAGGCTGACCTTGAACTCACAGAGATCTGCCTGCCTCTGCCTCCTGATTAAAGGCATGTGCCGCCACCACCCGCCTTTTTCTGTCTATTTGTTTTGTTTTGTTTTGTTTTTTGTTTTGTTTTTGTTATGGTCTCATAAAAACACAGAATCCAAAACATCTTTGTGTACCCATAATCTGGAAGGCAGCAATAAACCATAGCATCTTTGAGGGAGACAAAGGGAAAGAAAGAAAGACTCAGTACCCTAGGAGCCATTCCTGGGACTCCAGAATCTAGAGGAACCATGCTTGGAGCTCTCTTGCCTTCTGATATTCTTGCTATAAGCAAGGGTTTTTTGGGGTTTTTTTTTTTTTGGTTTTTTTTTGAGGGAGGAGGGGGAGCTGTTGAGAAGGTCTTCCTATGCAGCAGCCCTGTCTGTCCTGGATCTTTCTATGTAGACCAGGCTGGCTTCAAACTTAGAGATCCACCTGCCTCTTCCTCTTGAGTGATGGGATTAAGGGTGTGCACCACCATGCCTGGCTTGTTTTGTTGTTTGGTATCTAGACATTTTGAAGAAAAGAATTTTAGGGTCTGGAGAGATGGCTCAGCAGTTAAGAGCACTGGCTGCTCTTCCAGAGGACTGGGTATGAGCCCCAGCATACACAAGGCACTTCACAGCCATCCGTAACTCCAGCTCCAGGGGGTCTGATGCCCTCCTTCTGGCCTCCACAGATATTGCATGCATGCAGTGCACAAATGTGCAAGCAAAACACCCACATACATGAAATAAAAGAACAAACAAGAACAAAAAGAGTAGAGTTTCTCCCGCTGCTGCCAAAGAACACACCTTCACACAGGAGGAACTGAAGGCCACAGGTGACTGGCCAGCATCCAGAGCACCTGGGCCATGTTCCCACCTCCTCCCCTTCCTCTCCCTGTTCCCACTACCTCCCCTTTCTCTCCCTATTCCCACCTCCTTCCCTTCTTCTTTGTTCCCACCTTCTCCCCTTTCTCTCCCTGTTCCCACCTCCTCCCCTTCCTCTCCCTGTTCCCACTACCTCCCTTTTCTCTCCCTGTTCCTACCTCCTCCCCTTCCTCTCCCTGTTCTCACCTCCTCCCCTTCCTCTCTCTGTTCCCACCTATTCTCCCTCTCCTTACTAAGCTCTGCAGAAGAGATCAGCTCATGCAATGAGCAGCCTGAGTCTTTACTTTCACCTTGTCATAAGTCACTTCCAAGGGGCCCCTGTCAGTTGTCATACAAGCCACTGCTCTGACCCAGGAGGCAGAGGTGGCCAGAGCAGGCACAAAGAGAAAGAGCATCCTGCCAGGTGTCTAAACATGTCCTTGCTGGTGATGAGCAGGAGCCCCACAGTGGAGACTCACCATAGCCATCCGGGGCACCATTGTGCACTGCCTCACACAGAGCCTGGGGTCTCATGGTGAACAAAACTGGCCCAGCACCTGCTGGCCCTCTCACTGGGGCCACAGGTAGGTGTACTAGTGTCAGTTGATGATGCTCCCTGATGTTGCTGGCTGCTGCTCCTTGACTGCTGAGACCTTCCAGGTCCTCAGCTAAGGGAGGGAGGGGGGTCAAGTAGGTTGGTGACTCCCACATCTTTGCTAGGTTGACTAGCCCAATCCAGCAGCGCTCAGCACCCCTCAAGTTTCTGCCTGGAGACCAAATGCCACTGTGTTACATTTCTCACAGCCATCCTGCCCCCTATTGACAGTGATGCCAACTAAGGGCAAAGAGGGGTCATATACGTAAGGGAAGCCCAGGCTCCAGGCTTTACTGGTTCCCACAGTACAAAAAGCTACTCTGGTTTTTCTAATAAGAGAACTGGTCAATATCTACACCGGCTTAACTAACTTACTGCTGGTCTCCCGTCGCTGTAAACCAACAACCAAAAGTCTAAATGCTTGTGTTTGTGGGTGGGGGTATACCTGAACACCACCTTTTAGGCTTTGTGGGGTGAGGAAATGACTTTCCTTGACAACCCTTGATGTGACTCAGTTCTACAGAGCCAAGGCACGAAGTCGGGGTGTAAAGCTTTGCCTTTATTGTCTCCTCCTCTTCCTGGGCCAGCAGAAGACAGGCCTTGAGTGACTACCTAGTCTGCAGCTCAGAGTTTCTGTCCAGTGGGGAACTGCAGTCTGGATGGGAACAAGAAGCTAAGAGTCATCCTGGCCTTTACCGAACCACATGCTCTCCAGCCTAACTTTGCTGATGAGGAAGGCATCCTGTTACCTCCTCCTCTGCTAACACTTTTGGTTGATTTTCCATTGGTTCAGAGTCAGCAGAAGACAACAGAGCATTTTCTCTGCTTCTCAAAAATCCTGCGGCGTGTCCATTTCCTTTCCTTGACCACTTAACCTCTCGTTGCCGGCCGAATGCGGGAGTCCACAAAGCTTCGGGTACTGTGTTCAGTCTGCACGGGGCGGTGCAGCTGTACAGAGAGTGACAGACCTCAAAAGAGCCCTTGCATGGTGCAGTTCTATACAGCCAGCTCCCATTTGATCCCAGTCACCCTGAAACATGCCAAGCGAGGACACGGCTCCGATATGTACAAACACTCTACCGGCTGGGATTGCCTTGGCTGTCTGTGAGTGATGCACCCTCCTGGGGCAACAAGAAGACATTACCAAACGTCCATGGAGCTCCTTTAGGCCCTCCTTCACAGCCCCACCCTGCTGGCAGCCTCCACTCTGTCCTCCAGTGCCACCATCCTCTTTCCCCTTCTCCCCTCCCTCTGGGTAGAGACAGGCCTCCATCCTCATCCTCGGGTTGGCTTTTTTCTCTCGCCACATGTCTGAGTCCACCCAAATTCTTGTACACATCAGAAGTGCACTCTTCCACACCTCTGTGTAATAATCCTTTAACTGACTGTGCCTTTATTCACATTAGTATTAATTGCCTATTTGCATAGCGTTTTTTCTTTGTCCTTCAGGGAAAGCAGGCCTTCACATTTAATGTGTGACCTTCCTGTAGAGGCTTCTTCTTTTAAGGGGGTTGGTAGCTCTGTGCTCACTGGGATTAAGCACTGATACCATCTGTTTACCCCTGCCATCCCTCTTCTACTTGTCCCTCCTGAATGTCTATGGCACATCCTTCCTATCTTCCTCAAGCATAAACAAATCCTCAGATTCTTCAGTTAGCTTTCAGCTGAGCCCTTTTGGTTTGTTGTTGTTTGTTCTGGGTCCTCTCAGAGTGGCACACCTCAGGGGAGATGCGAGGGCTTTACAGGGGTGTGAATTCATTAATGGCCCAGGTCTCACCCATCCCCCGGCCACACATCTGCTTCCCAGCATTGCGCAGGCTTCAGTGTTTTATCTGAGCCCTCATCTGAGGTTTAAACTAAGGTCCACGGATAACCTTTAAGTGCGTCTTCCCTAGTCATTCTTCCCTTTTTTCCCAAGCAGCATTGTTGCCAGCTTAGTTCCCATTCCTTGGAAAACATGTTTATCTCATTTTCCCCTTTTCACAGAGTGTCACGGCTGGGTCCGGGGTCTCCACACTGACAGGCTTGCTCTGCTTGCTTTGCCTCACAATGCTCCCATGTAGAAGACGCAGAACTTCTGATGACTTCCTGGGACTACTGGACTTTTACCTGGGCGACCCCAGCAGCTATATACAGTTATATACATGACATATATAAATATGTCACAGCAGACACACCCTATATAGACACCCCACTGTTCAGACACTCAGGTGGTGTTTATTAAAATG